AGTGGGTCGAGCAGGGGCAGCTGTTTGAGGGGCCACAGAGTCTGCAGTGAAGGTAAGAAACACATGGTCAAGGGAGGTCCTAACGCATTTAAAATAGAACGGTGTGCACGCTCCGTGAATGTCACTATTACTACTGTCGTCCATCGCTAGTGTGGAATTCTTATCAATGGTTGGCAGAGCACGTCTGAGAGGCTTCCCATCCAGCAGATGCTGCCCTCCACCTCCAGTCCCCTTCTGCCTGCAGGAAGCTCTCCCCGCCTCACCCAGAGCTGCCCCATTTCTATTCCCGGTAAACACCAGCAGCTTGATGACATCATGCCTGGAGAGAAGGTTCTGGGCTGTGACATGGGAGCCACAGTGGACTTGTCTTTCTGACTCACAACTCCTTACTGCCACCGTAACCCCTGCTCTGAGGTTCTGGGAAAGGTGAAGGAAACCATCTTTCATCAAGGTGAGAAAACAAGGGTTTGTGGCCTCTGATGATTTCCTGGAAAGCGTTTCTTTTGAAGCAGAAGCAGAAGTACCCAAATGTATTCATTCACAAAGCATCCCCCACGTGGCCACAGACTCAGACATGCTTTGCCTCTGGGGTTGAACTTTAAGTGTATCTGTTTGAAAGCAAATATAAAAATTAATCTTTTACATTTAACCTAGCAAGCTGAACAATTTGAGTCACCAAAAGATTAAACAAAAAATACCCACCATAAAAAAGCAAAAAAAAACAAAAAAACAAAAAACAAACCCCAAACCAAAAGCACTTCTTCTGCGCCGGGGAGAAGCCATGGGGCCCAGTTGTCTTCTCATCACAGGCTCTGCCTAACTGACGGATGGCTTCAACTGCACTGGGAACAGACAGTTCGAGAGAACAGAACCTTATGTGGCTCGCAGAGCCTTCCCCAACTTTGTATGACCATTTATTGTTCTGCTAAAGCAATAAAAGAAGTTTCGGTAGGAGCAGCGTGGGGGTCAAAGTGTTCTATGACCATTAGAAGGCAGTGTGTTCAGTTCCCACAGCCCTTATGTTGGGCCAGACCACGTTTGGCTCAAGCATCCAAGACCCACAGATTCGGAAGCCAGGCTTCCCTCTAAAATCTTGCTTTTGGGGCGCCAGGGTGGCTCAGTGGGTTAAAGCCTCTGCCTTTAGCTCAGGTCATGATCCCAGGGTCCTGGGATCGAGCCCCGCATCTGGCTCTCTGCTCAGCAGGGAGCCTGCTTCCTCCTCTCTCTCTGCCTGCTTCTCTGTGATCTCCATCAAATAAGTAAATAAAATCTTGTTTTTGTGGAGTCCTTGTGCCCTGTTGGTGGGAACGCAAGCTGGTCCGGCCACTGTCGAAAACAGGATGGAGGTTCCTCAAAAAATTTAAAACTTAACCATAAAAAAGAATGAAAGCTTACCATTTGTAATGACAGGGATGGAGCTAGGGAGTATTATAGTAAGTGAAATAAGTCCCTCAGAGAAAGACAAGTACCATAGGATTTCACTCCTATATGGAACTTAAGATACAAAACAAACGAGCTAAGGGTGGGGGGGAGCCAAGAAAGAGACTCTTAACTGTAAAGAACTAGTGATTACCAGAGGGGAGGTGGGTGGGGGATGGATGAAATAAGAGATGGGGAATCCTGGGGCTCGATCCCAGGACACCAGGATCATGACGTGAGCCAAAGGCATATGCTTAACCAACTGAGCCGCCCAGGCAACCCGAGTCTGACTCTTGATTTTGGATCAGGTCATGATCTCAGGGTTGTGAGATGGAGCCCTGCCCTCAGCGTTGGAGCCTGCTTAAAATTCTCTCTCTCCCTCCGTCCCTCCCCCAACACTTGCACTCTCTCTCTCTCTCTCAAAAAAAAAAAAAAAAAAGGGAGGGGGACACATGCACCCTAATGTTTATTGCAGCATTATTTACAAGAGCCAAATTACAGAAGCAGCCCAAGTGTCCACCCATGGATGAACGGATAAAGAAGATGTGACAGCTACATAGGGAATGGGATACTACTTATCCATGGAAGAGAACGAAATCCTGCCATTTGCCACAACATGGATGGATCTAGAGGGTATAAGCCTAAGTGAAATAAGTCAGACAGGGAAAGACAAATACCACATGATTTCATGCATAAGTGGAATGTAAAAAACAAAGCGAAGAAGGAAAAAAAACGCAAACAAAAGCCAGACTCTTAAATACAGAGAACAAAGTGGTAGTTATCAGAGGGCAGGTGGGTGGGGGGATGGATAAAACAGGGGAGGGGGATTAAGAGCACACGTTTCACGAGGAGCACTGGGTCAACTATAGAATTGCTGAAACATTATATTGTATACCTGAAATAACTATAATGCTGCATATTAATTATACATGCACTAAAAATTTTTTTAATTAAAAATACATACATTTCCATTAAAAATAATAATAAAATCCCACTTCTTTGACCAAGTTCCCCTCCTGTGTGACTGCAGGAGACCCAATTCCCTCCCAAGGTTTTCCCAAGGATGTTGACCTGGAACAACCCCCCGCCCCAGGTCTGCTTGATTCTCACGGACTCCCTCCAGTGGTCCCTGGGCCTCTTGTCTCTGCAGCAGTCACTGTCTTGGGTACCACAGCCTTGCGCCCTGGTTCCTTCATCCCACTTCTCAAGACAAGGCTCGAGAATAACAAAAGGTGATTGTGAGCATTAGAAGACACTGGGAGCAGCTTATCTCTTCTCCCCTCTGCCCCTGTCTCCCCTCAGCCTCTGGCCTGATGCCCGAGAGGAGGGCTTCATTCTTTGACTCAGCTGGCATCCCTGACTGTCATGTTTTCCACTCTCTCTCTCCCACTTGCAGCCAGTGATAACAGATCCTTTTACCCTCATAATAATCTTTGCAGAGCTCATTTAGTGTTTCCTGATGTCGCCCTTTCAATCAGTAAGCCAAGCACCCAGATTGAGTACAGCCCCTGCTGGGTCATGTGTCATGACTACTGGGTGCCCTACTGTGAAGGGACGTAGCACAGTCAAGTTCTTTGACTTTCCCTTTGATGTGCCCAGTGAACCAACACCACCACTGAGCACATTCCCTTATCCCCCCAAAGGGAAAAGGAATCAAAACACTAAAAAAAAAAAAAAAAAAAAAGACACACAAACAAGAGATCTGTGCATAACATCTCGGAAACACTGGCATTCACATGGCTTTCCCAGAACAGCAGGTGTGTTCCTTATAGCTCCAAGACGGAGAAGGCTCACTCGAGTGGTTCCACCCAAAGCAGAGAATTCAGTTATGACCATAGAAGGCAGGAACTGCTCCAGGTTTGTAAACAGCACTTTAAGAAACCCTCCTCCCTCCCACCCCACACCTACAGAGTGTAGGGCGTGCGTTCCAGAGCTCGCAGCCTTATGTGCACCTGCGAGGCAGGAGTAGACGCCGTCCAACAGGTGTTCTCCACCCCACGCCCCACTGTGTCTTGTGTCCTTCCAGCTGATGCAACTTCTTGCTGCTGTCCCTAAGCACTGCTGGTGGGTTCAGGCCAAGGTGGGGAAAGCCAGGATGTGGCACGTGCTAGACGCTCAAAAATGTTTGTTGCATGAATGAATGAACGTAAACCCTGATACGCAACTGAGGCCCTCGGGCCCACTGGGTGCAAACTGAAAGAAGTCCCAGAAGTGTCCTTCTGCCCCAAACCTAAGCAAGAGATAGATGAGCCCTTAGTTCACAAGTTACTAACCACTCTCTGGCATGGGGGAGTTGTCTGTTTACCAAACAAATCTGGTTTTTTGGATGAATGATTACTACGGTCTGGGAGGTCAGAGTCAGAATCAAAAAGTTCACTAATATACAACAGAGTTAATTCAAAACTAAAAGGAATATACTTTACAGGAGATAAATTCCTGGTGGTTGGGTTCTACTTCAAAGGAAGCCTCAATCTAGACCATAATGAAAAAGGAGCTGAAGGGAGCAGTATTGGGAGCTCAGGAGATTCTAGGGGGTGGGGAAGAGATGGTTGGAGGGACTCAGGGTGAGTAATAATGACTTTATCCTCCTCATGATTCACAGAAATGAGGGCATATGCTCCACCGACCAAACCCCTGGAACTCCCACGCAAAGCAGAGAGAGAGGTCATTGGAAAAGGCAGATGCAAGACAGACGCACACACCCAGACCCAGCGTCTAGACAACAGGAGGATACAGTCAAGTTCGGATTGCTAGGAAAAGAGTGGGAGGGGGAAGAAATGGAAGAGTTTCGCTGAGAGTCTACTTTGTCCAAATAAGAGAGAGGCTCACGGGCCATCCTAACAGATCTCATGTGAAATGCTCTGGAGGCTCCGTCCTGCTTCTGTCCACATCACTCACGGTTCCTAGCCATTCTGAGAGGCCCTCTCTAGCCTTCTTGGATCCCTTCGGCTCTCAACGAGCACCAACAGGTCCTGGTCTTCATTCTAGATCTGCTTTCATGCCAACAGCAGTCAACACACACACAAAAATCACTCCTTCCTCTCCCTCATGTGCACAGAAGTCCGTGGAGGAAAGTATTTTAAATATTTCTCTGAAATCAGTGAAAATAACTATTTCCGATTTTCCAGTAATTCTAAGGTAGAAAAGCAAAGTAAATGTTGATTATACTTTAAAGCAGGGGATGTTCAGCAACAGAGAATAAGGCTGGTGTACGATTTTGGATTAAGCACAGGGGACCCTGCATAGCAAGCCGCTGAGTTTCCTTCAAGCCCTCCTCCCCCCCCGCACAGCGCTGCAGGTCAGGAAGAGCTGGATGCGCGTGAGGGCGACAAGCTGGAGACATTCTAGTTCAAGAACAAGAACTTCTGAAAAAGAGCTCTCTGTTCCTGGGAATGTTCAAGCAGAGGGGTCCAGGATGACGTAGGTGGTATTCAAACATCACAGACCAGAGTCAGCCTGAGAAACCAGCAAGACCCTTCCCACCGGGAGGGAGATGACACAAGCCTAGGAAATGCCTAGCACGGTGCCTGGTGCCTGGCGGAAGCGTAATAATAAATATTAGTTTCTTCTCACCCCAAGAGTCCACAGATCTAGGATCACATATATTGGATGTATTTCTGGAGGGGTCTTTGGATACATTCTAGATTCTTCCAGAAGTTCACAATTTTCTCGAGTGGGGCTATGGAAAGAGAAGGCAAGGGGAGGCAAGGAGGCACGTTGTCCCTACCGATGACAGCAGTTCCTTCTCTGCTTGGAGTTCCGAGCTCCTTCAGGCCGTTATGGGCTTGGGCCTGATGCTCTCCACGACAGCTGAGATGACCGCTCCCGCAGCCTTCGCGCCTTCCATCAGTGCGTGCTCCACCTGCAAAGCAGACCAGTCCACAGGACACTCAGGGGTGATCCCAGGCTTGTGCCCCGCCCCACCACTCCCCTTCAGCACCTGGCCTGCCTGGAGGAGGAAGTAACCTGTGCTAGCCTCTATTTCCAAAGATCCTAGCATTGCAAGGGACCTAGAGAAGTCGGGATGGCCCAGAATGGGACATCCGAGGCAGACGCACTCCCTGTCCCTCCAGGGCATCCATGGCTCCTGGCCTCCTTGGTCCCTCAGAGCCATTCAGCCCAGGGTCTCCCTCTGGAATAGGGGCAGGGAGGCAAAGGATCTCAGCGTGCCTGAGCCACTGAGACCTTTCTCTACATACAGGGAATCTGAGAACCAGGGAGGGGAACTCACTTGGACAAAGTCATGGTAGGAATCAGTGTCTGAGCGTGGCCCACACTCCAGAGAAGGCTCCCTGGCTTCCATTTCGTTCCTGGGGTCTTGTCATATACAAATGCTTGTGGGATGGGAGATCCCTGACACCAGAGCCCCCAAGGCCCCCTACACTGGAGCGAGGCCTCCGGAGAATGGAGTGTGGGCCAGGAGAGGACAGAAACAAAGGAGGAAGGTGCAGAAAGTGGAGGGGACGGGGGTGGGTGACCTGCTCACGCTGACTCAACAACAATAGAGAGACCAGCATTGGGATTTGAGCCCAGTACCCTGAGGGGACACAAGAGCCACAGAAAAAAAAGCAGAAAAAAAAAGGTGTTCCTTCTTTAATTCTTCATTTCTCAATCTATCAAAAAGGGGATAATAAATGCACCTTCCACTCCTCTCATGGGGTTTAGTAAGGATCAAATAGGAAAGAGGGTCGCTCAGGTTGTCACAGATATTTTGAGCTATTTTTCAAAGCCCTTGAACACATGGACTGTGCCTCATTGGGGTTATCCCCACCCCGTGTGATTGGGGGGTCACGAGCCCAAACACAGCACGGGCCACGCCGGTAAGACGGGCGAAGCTTGCAGGTGGCACGTCAACCCCCACAAGCCCCATCTAAAGAGACAGCCACTACTCGGCCGCATAGGGTGTCAGCGAGCAGAACACGGGCCTCATGGCCCGATCCATCAGTTGTTCTAGAATGGCTGTGAATCCACATCTTTTATATAAAATTTCTATATTTTGGGGGCGGCTGGGTGGCTCAGTGGGTTAAAGCCTCTGCCTTTGGCTCAGGTCATGATCCCAGGGTCCTGGGATCAAGCCCCATATCAGGTTCTCTGCTCAGCAGGGAGCCTGCTTCCCTTCCTCTCTCTCTGCCTGCCTCTCTGCCTACTTGTGATCTCTGTCAAATAAATAAGTAAAATCTTTTTAAAAAATTTCTATATTTTTAAGTGTCGGTAAGTCATACAAATTAAAAAAACAAAACCCAACAATACTACCCATCCAAGCAAAACATGTCTGTGGGCCAGCTGTAGCCCCAAACCTCACTTTACCCCCGCTTTGTGAACGAAGAAACAGAAAGAAGAGTCTGACCAAGGTGACGCCCCCAACAAAGGGGCCCAGCTCTACAGCCCAGAGCCTCTGCGCTCCTCCACGGGCTAACAGAGGGGAAACCACCTCCTGAACGGTGAAGTCCTGTGGATGGAGAAGGCCCCCGGCACAGCAAAGAGCGCGAAACCGCTGACCCCCGCTCGGATCACCGAGGAGATGACAAGCCCCAAGAAGGCTCAGCCAGAAGCCACCGTCCCGGCAAAAGTCGCAAAGGTCGCCGTACCTGCTGACTCCGGGGCACGCCGTATCTGAGGTCATTGACAAAGTGCTCACAGTTCCCTTCGATCAGGCTGTACTGCACAATCTTGTTGATCATCTGTTTCGTGCGCTGGAGGATCTGGTCCACGGGCAGGGGCAGGTACGTCCCGTCCAGCTTGTTGTTGATCTTCCAGGAGCAGCCGTGCAGCACGTCCTCCAGACGGCTGTACTTCACGACCGCGCGGTTGCTGAAGATGGAAGTGATGCTACCCACCTCGAATTCCTCACCTGGGGACCAAGAGGAACAGAAGCTGGAAAGCTGCGAGGGACAGCGGAGGGCAGGGGGGCGGGTAGTGCCCTGACTCACTCTAAGATGTGCGTCAAGCGGCTTCCCTCCAAGGCCTCGGCTTTGGCATGGCCGAGGATGGCGAGTGTTTGACATGAACTGCGCCCCTGCCTCCGCCCCCCCCCAGTGAGACACCTGTCACCTGGAGATCAGCCCATCAGCCTTTTTTTTTTTTTTAAATGACAGATGATGTTGAGCATCTTTTCCTATAGTGGGGCACAGGAGAGGGCTTGGCCCTGCAGGGGAGAGGCGGGACCTAAGGAGGAGGACTGAGCCCTGAGGGTGAGGGCCGTGAGCATGGTGTGGCCACAGGCCTTTGGTCCCAGGGCTCTTCTGCAGTTTCATCCTGAGTGGACAGTACTCACACAGGATGCAAAATTCAGAAGGCATCAGAGCGTACGCAGGGGTGTCCCCTAGCCTCCCCTTCTCCCAGCGCCTCCTGGTCCCTTCGCACAAGGGGACCACTGTGACTAAGTGTGTCTCCTGTTCTATCTTCTTCCATCACCACATCCTCCCATCAAATCTCCACTAAATTTTAATTAGTCACCAGTTGAATCTCAGCCTTGTACTAGGCGACCTTGAGGAATGAAAGGAAAGCTGTGTGTCTGGGGACAGTCAGAAAGAGCAGGACGACGAGCCAGGAAGCTGGAAGCAGCATCTAGGGGCCATCGGAACGTGCAGGCATCTGCGCCCCTCCTGCGGAAGCCTCAGAAATAGGAGGAAGGACACCGAGGCTCAACGAACACAGGGCCACCAGGTGCACTGCATCTCCCTTAGGGCTGGACGCTCGGGGGCGTTGGGTGGACAGAGATCAAGCTCCGTCACCCAGTCCACTGAGGGCCAGGAATGCGCTGAGTGTTTTTTGCGAATGAAGGGCAGCTGCTGAGGAACCCAATAACTTAATGCACTTATTCTTACTCTGCTAACTTCAATGTCAATATCAATATGTCAATAGAGTATCCACCCTTACTCGGGGCAGCCAGATGCACCACGCAGTCGTCTTCCACGTAGATGGCCCAGTGCTCATAGCCAATTCGAAAAATCTCAATCAGGTCTCCGGGTCTGGGCCTTGGTTTGCCCTGTGAGGGGAGAAATAAGATAAAATAAAGAAGCTGCACCTGCCCAAGGAACTCCGGAGACCCTGTCTGGGGATTAGCTAGAGTCGGCCTGAAGACACAGGGTTTCATCGCTTTGTAGAAATCCAGGCTGCCAGAAGCTCTCTTCCCACGGAGGGTGGGTAGTGGGGGATGGGTGGGGGGGGAGGGCCTGCTCCCCTCCTGCTGTCACTCAGGTTATTAAAGCCACAGGCTAACTGTGCCAGCAGCCGATGTATTGCCACTGGGCTCCAAATGTATCCTCCAGATAAGCTCTGGGATATATGCTGGAGCTCTTTTAAGCTTTTCTCCTTAAAAATGAGCACTTCAATAAGCATTGCAAGAGGGAAGGGTTCTCCTGCAGGTTCTGGCTTGCAGCAGGGGGTGGGAGGGTGATGGTCAGTAGAATGGGTGTGAGGACCTCCGGCGGAGCTCTACCCGAGCCAGAAGCCTCCGACAGTAACCTTTCTCAGCCCTTCCGCAGAGAAATCAGTGCCCAAACACCTCCAACACCTGCTGGTGTCTTGACTCCCTCTGCACGGATCCCACATGGACTGATCCAGAGGGCCCCCCCAAGTCTGCATGCTCAAACCACCTGCTGACAACCCACCACCACCACCGCCCCATGGCCAAACCAAACTTCTCTGATCTCCTCTCTAATGAGGAGATTAGAGAACCCCTTCCAAGTCTGTCCTTTCCTGAGAATTCTCCCTCAGGCCTGGGAGGCCATGTTGAGTTTCTTCATTTCTTATAGTTACTCTTATATAGTTTAACAATTTTTTAACCTTTCCCCTGTTTAATCTACTGGGTAGTTTCTATCTCTTGATTGGACCCAAAATGCTGATACTCTATCCCTTCAAAGAGGCCTAGGGAGGAGACAGTGTGTGTGTGTGTGTAATGTGTGTGGGGGCGTGCGCCGCACATGCCTGTATGTGGGCACAATGCAGTATTGTGCACTTAAAAATTTATTGAGGGTAGATCTCATGTTAAGTGCTCTCTCTTAGCACAATTTAAAAAAAAAGAAAAGAAAAGAAAACTTAGAGCTTTTGCAATTGCAAACCCAAACTAAAAAAAAGAAAAAGGAAGAAGAAAAAGAACTCTCTTATCCCCTCCTTCTGTACTATGCATCCCTCCCAAACTGTCCCTAAGTTTGTCTAGGAGGGGTCCTGGGAAGAAGTTCTGCTCACTGGTTACTCCCTGAGAAAGCAAGCTGGGCAGTCAGAGCCCACAGAGACCTGGGGAGCCCTGGAGCGGATCACACCGCCCCACCTAACCATCAGTTTCACAATGGCTTTGTCACTTATTCAACCATTTGCCCACTTTAGTCTAATTTCCTCAAGGCTGCATCTCACCTCCCAGTTGCCAGCTCTATTTTCCTGGTGGAGGACAGCCCTTTGCCTGGCAAAAATTCACAGAAGTAAAAGGGGGCACCTGTTTCTTTTCTGAACTACAATGTACAAAATTTACAAATTTACAAAACCATCACCACTATCCATTGGAGTTCATCAAAATTTAAAAATTTTTTTCTTCAAGAGCTCTTGTTAAGAGAATGAAGACACAAGCCACAGACACTGAGAGGATCCTGCAAAGCATGTATCTGATGAAAGGCACGGACACAGAATTTCTGAAGAAACCAAGGGGGGAAACGGGCAAAAGGATTTGGACACTTCACCAAGGAAGATGGATATGGAAGATGTTCAACATCGTTAGTCCTTAGAGAAATGCAAATTAAAACCACAATGAGACCCTTACAGACCTATGACAATACCAACAATTAAAGAGACAACCAAATGCCGATGAGGAGGCACTGGAACGTCCACACACTGCTGGCGGGAATGTCAAACGACACAACCGGTTTGGAAAGCAGGAGGTTAAAAATGCAACTACATATGGGGGAGCCTGGGTGGCTCAATTAAGCATCTGCCTCTGGCTCAGGGTCCTGAGACTGAGCCCCGGGAGGGCTCTGTGCTCCAAGGGGGAGACTGCTTGAGATTCTCTCTCTCCCTCTGCCCCTCCGCGCCTTCTCTCTCAAATAAATAAATAAAATCTTTCAAAAAGAAATACATCTACCATATGATCTAGCCATTTCATTCCTAGGTATTCACCCAAGAGAAAAGACAACATCTGTCTGTACAAAGACGTGCACACAAATGTTCGTGGCAGTTTTATTTGTAATAGCCAAAAACCAGGAACAGCCCAAATGCCCATCAAGCGGTGAATGGACAAACAATGGTGTATTCATACAATGCATTCCTACTCGGTAATAAAAAGGAGTGAACTATTAATCACATGCAACAATATGGATATAATTTTAATTACACGAAATTATGTGAAAGGAGATGGACAAAAAGAGCCCATACGATATGATTCCATATCATATCGACAGAATTCTCTAGAAAATGCAAATTAATGTATAGTGACAAGAAGCCAATCAGGGGCTGCCTGGGGAGGCGTGGGGGAGAAGAGGTGGGATTTACAAAAGAAAACAACGTTTTGGGAGTTATGGAGATATTCATTACCTTGACTGTGGTGATGGTTTCATGGGTGTACACACACCATACCAAACATATCCAACAGTATATTCTAAAAATCTATATTTCATGTAGTTATAGCTCAGAAAAGCTTAATGGAGTTCAACAAAGCTGTTTTTAAAAAAAATTTTAAGGCACAACCAATATCCCAAATCAATATGCACTTCAACCTGCCACACAGTCTAAATAAAGCAAAGAGTCTGTAGAGAAGTCACGGGCATAGTAAAGATACACACAAAGAACTCTTGTGATTCCCACCTCAGCAGCTTGCTTTGCCAATTTCCCGGTGTTCTCAGGCTTCGGGGCTGAATTCAACTCTGCTCTTTTCTCCTTGGGTGTGGTCTCCAAGTTAACTATGGGCTTCTCCCTAGATGAATTTTGTGATCACAGAGTTAACGAATAACAACATTTCACCATTACTGGAAATTCTGTATTACTTCAGACTTAAGATTTTCAGATCTCTTTCAATTTTAAGACCCTAGGAAACAGCTTCCCCAAAGCGTGTTTCTGAGATCACGCTCTTAGCTGCCTTACAAAATAATTGCCGTTTCCTGCATTTCAGATGATCATTAAACCGCTAATGATAGCAGTGAGTAGTTTCAGGATTTTTTTTTTTTTTTTACTGCTGATCATCTTTCTTACATGTTTATTAAAGTGACACCTGTACATAGCTTTAAAAAAAATGGTAACAGTACATAATGGCTTCTAATGAAATACAACAGGCCTCTATTCCCTCCCTTCCTTCTGCCCATCCTACTGGGAGAGGCAAACCCCTTCAGCTGTTTCTTCCAACAACTAGGTCCATAAATCTGAGAAATCTCATTAAGCCTCAATACTGTAACTGCATATATCTTGAAAGAAATCAGTATATTTTGTTTCTTGAACCAAAACGTTATTTTGAGAGGACTGAAACCAACGGCAGGAATAGCTTTGGGATAATATAGTGAAATATATTGGGGTCAAAAAGGCCTGGGGTTGGGGGTCCTGGCTGGCTCAGTCAGTAGAGTGCTAGAGTATGTGACTCTTGATCTCGGGTTTGTGAGTTCGAGCCCTCTGCTGGATGTGGAGATTACTTTAAAAAAAATCTTAAAAAAAAATACAGGGTTTGAATCCTGGCTCTGATCCTTGCTATCCAACTTTGAGCTAGTAAATGAATGTGTCTGGACATCAATTTGATTATCTATAAAATAGAGATGAGAGCATTTGCATCTCAGAGTTGTCGAGAGGGTTAAAAGAGAGAGGGGTGCCTGGGTGGCTCAGTGGGTTAAAGCCTTTGCCTTCGCTCCGGCTCCGGTCATGGGGCTCTCTTCTCGGTGGGGAGCCTGCTTCCCCCCTCCCTCTCTGCCTGCCTCTCTGCCTACTTGTGATCTGTGTCAAATAAATAAATAAAATCTTTAAAAGAGAGAGAGAGAGAGCATAATATATACACATCTGGTACATTACCAACCAAAAAATGGCATTTTATTTGCCTTTCCCCCACACTTTACCTCTTCTCCAAAGTATAGTGTACGGGGATGGAGTATAGCTCTTTGGGGAACATTCAGACCCTCACAATTTCAAAAAGAAGCAAACCATGCTTTTTTTTTTATTATTAGTATTAACATATAATGTATTATTTGCCCCAGGGCTACAGATCTGTGAATCACCAGGCTTAACACAATTCACAGCACTCACCATAGCACATACCCTCCCCAACATCCACAACCCAGCCACCCTATCCCTCCCGGCTCCAACCCCACCCCCCAGCAAACCTCATTATGTTTCCTGAGATTAAGAATCTCTTATGGTTTATCTCCCTCCCCAGTCCCATCTTGTTTCATTTTTTCCCTCCCTAACTCTCACAACCCCCACCCCCGGCTCTCAAATTCCTCATATCAGAGAGATCATATGATAATCATCTTTCTCTGATTGACTTATTTCGCTTAGCATAATACTCCCTAGTTCCATCCAGGTCCTTGCAAATTGAAGCAAACCGTGTTTTTAATGAAAGTGAACTGAGGAAATTTGCAAGATCACATAATTCGTTAGTGAGACCACGTGGCCACGCGGTGAACCGCAGTTCTCAGGGTTCTGGAGGCCTTGCGGCTCCCAGGCCTTGTGGTCATCTATTATCCCGTGCACAGCAGCCCTCCCCTCGCTGGTTAGGGGGCAAGTAGGCTGGTTCCTATGGAAACCAGCTCGGGATTTGCTTTATAGGATTGCCATCAAAGTCGGTTCTCCAAAGTCTTCCCCACCAGAAGACCTAGTCCTTCCACAGGGAGACTCTTACCCCTCCTGGCTGCTTCTGCTCAGCTCTGAGGTTCCCTGCTGTGGCTCCTTGGGCGAGAGCTGGACCAACGCTTGAGATGATTCTTCTGATAGGGGGTGGGGGGTGGGGAGGAGGATGCTATTTAAACCACAACTGCCTGGACATCTGGGTGGCTCAGTCGGTTAAGCGTCTGCCTTCAGACCCGGTCATGATCCCGGGGTCCTGGGATGGAGCCCCACATTAGGCTCCCAGCTCAACAGGGAGCCTGCTTCTCCCCCTCCCTCTGCCACTCCCCCTACTTGTGCTTTCACCCTCTCCCACTCTCTCTCTCTAATAAATAAATAAAATCCTTAAAAAATAAATGAAAAACAAACCATAACTGCCTCCTAAAGGGAACAAAATCTATGAAAGGATTGTTGGAGCGAGCACCTTGACATCTCTGTGAAGGTGGGCTCAGAGCTCCAGTCGAGAACCGTGCCTGGCCCGGTCAGCCCTCAGTTTTGGGGTGAGGAAGTGAGTGGATTGTGAGACTGGGTGCTGGAGAGGTCTCAAGTCCCCTGGAAAGAAGAGACTTTGGAACTCCCAGGGATAAGCTCGGGGAGGGGATGAAGTGAGATCCCAGACATCGGGGGGCTAAACCTGACAGCAGAAGCTTCAGCGGCCCTCGAGTCCTAGAGCCATTGTCAGCTGTCCTGGGGCTGCCAACTCTGCTTCCAGCTCTACCCCGAACAGAGTCAGAGGGGGGACACCCGAGGGAGGCGCTGGACGCCTGGCTCGCTTTGGTTGAATTACCAACGAAAGATCATTCCAAATATGCGCTCATTCCGGTTAACGGGCATTTCGCACCGCCAACACTTAGCTAGGAGAAGGAGCCTTGAAGGCGTCTCTGGTGCCTTTTCTGGGTTCCGATGGAGGAGTCGGGTTCCTGCGGCCCGGCGGACGAGAGCACAGCGGACCCGCAGGGGGCTGGTGGCAGGTCCTCAAGCAGCGTACCTGCGGCTCGCGGGACGGGGCCGGGGCGGGGCCGGGGGAAGCGAGAGAGGCGTCGCCTTCTCTCCCCGCGGGCGGCGGGGCCCAGGCCCATCCCGCTGCTGCGGCTCCGCACCGGCTGGGACCCCGTAGGCTCTGCGCGGGGCTGGCGGAGCCGGCGGGGTGGAGGGCGCTGGCGCGGCGCGGTGAGGACCTGCGGAGGGCGGGGGGGGGGGGGGGCGCCTGGCCGCGAAGCCGGGGCGCGCAGCAAACGGCGGGGGCGCGCGGGCGCCGTGCGCACAGCGGGGGAAACAGAGAGGGCGCTCGGGGTTGGGGGGGGGGCGGGCTTAGAGGCCCAGGAAAGACGAGGAAAGCGGCGGCGGAGGTCACAGGGGGTGCCGTGGGTTGGGTGGAAGGCCGCGCAAACAGCGGGCACGGAGGCCGGAGGTGCCATCCGACGCGGCTGCAGAAGCGGACGGAGGAGCGACAAACGCACTGATGCCACCTTAGGCGGGCGTAGATCTTGAGGGATTCACAGTTTTTATTTGAATTATTTATATAATTTAAATTATACATTTTGTAACTAATTATATATCATACGTAATATATACAAAAGAACACAAGGAGGGGCCCTGGGTGCCTCAGTCGGTTAGGCGTGGGACTCCCGATAATGGCTCAGGTCTTGATGAGTGAGTTCTAGGTGGTGGTGAGTTCAGGGTGGTGAGTTCTAGACCAAGGATGGCTCCACGCTGGGCGCTGAGCTTACTTTAAAGAAAGAAAAGAAAAAAGAAAAGAAGAGAAGAGAAGAGAAGAGGAGAAAAGAAAAGAAGAGAAAAGAAAAGAAAAGGTGGAATACTTGTAGTTGTGAAACGGAATAAAATTACTCTCCATGGATGCACCAGTCTACTTAAGAACGGGAACATACCTAGCACAGATGCTCCCACCCCTGCGTTCGTCCCTTGTCCCATCTCCCTGCCTCCCTCTGCCAGAGGTAACCTCTCCGGACTCTTGTGTCTATTATGCCCTTGCTCTTTTCTCCTAAAGATTTTGTTTATCTGAGAGAGAGCGAGCACAAGCCGAGGCAGAGGCAAAGGGAGAGGAAACAGCAGACTCCAGGCTGAGTGGGGAGCCCTTCCCCAGGCTCCATCCTGGGATCATGACCTGAACTGAACACAACCCTTAACCGACTGAACCACCCAGGCGCTCTTGTGCCCTTGCCTTTTTTAAAAGCAGCTTTGTAAAACCCCTTCTTTGTACTTCTCATCCATCCTTTCCTTCTGTATACTGGAAGCTTTGTAGAAATGGTATGCTGTATGTTCCGCAAGTTGCTTCTTTGGAAGCTGTTTCCATAATACCTACATCTTACTGTATAAATCTGTAAGTCGTTTTCCCTGCTGGAAAACAGTCCATTCTGTGAATGTACCACAATTTATCCATCTGGTGCCATCTGAGCCTGCTTCCCCCCCACCCGCCTGCCTCTCTGCCTACTTGTGATCTCTCTCTTCCATTCTGTGAATGTACCACAATTTATCCATCTGGTGCCAAAGCCACATGGTTACTTCTGAATTTGGAATTAGAAATTATTGAAAAGAACCCAAATTGTGCCCTGACGATTCATGCAGGAGATTCTACAGAATTTAGAACCTGGGAAGGTATGCAAAGATTCAACTTTACGACAAAATATTAAAACATTTCTCCAAGTGATGGCGCCAATTTAACTTCTTCCAGCAGCGAGTAAGAATTCCTGTGGACTGGGGTGCCTGGGTGGCTCAGTAGGTTAAAGCCTCTGCCTTCAGCTCAGATCATGATCGAGGGTCCTGGGATTGAGCCCCACATCGGGCTCTCTGCGTGGCAGGGAGCCTGCTTCCTCCTCTCTCTCTGCCTGCCTCTCTGCCTACTTGTGATCTCTGTCTGTCAAATAAATTTTAAAAATAAAAAAAATTAAAAAGAATTCCTGTGGACTTACATCTTCACCAACATTTAGTACTGTCATATTTGCTTTTTCCAGGTAAATGGATATAAAATAGTATTTTACTAAGAAGTCTTACTGGAAGTTTTTATTTGCTTTTCACTGATCACTAAGATTGAAACGTGTGCGTGTGTGTCTATATATATATATATATATATATATATATATATATATATATATATAATCAGCCATTTAGATTTCCTCTTGTAAAAAGTGCCTTTTCATGTCTTTTGCCCAATTTTCTCTGGAGTCGTCAGTTTTATTTGTTTACACATATTTTCTTCCAGGTGATGGCTTGTCTTCACTTTCTTTATGGAGTCTCCAGTTAAAGAGAAGTTTTTAACTTTAATGCGGTAGAGTTTATCAGTCCTCTCTTTTGTGGTTAGCACTCTGCATCTTGCCATGAAGTTCTTTCTTGCTCTGAAGTCCGAAAAATATTCTTCTACATTTTCTTGTAAAAGTTTTAAATGTTGTCTCTTTCATTTAATCTACGTGGACTTGATTTTTTCCCCATATGAATAATCCCCGTACAATTTAGCTCAGCCTGGCTTATTTGTAGTTTCTTCTTCCCCCAGGAATGAGCAAGACACCTGTGCTATGTGTCAGACTTTAGAAAACAAGCAATAATGTCGTTGGCTGTATTCTACTCCACTGGTAAATGTGTCTGTCCTCGTGCTCCTATCAGGTGATCATAATTACTAAATCTTTATAATAAGTCTCGATATATGGAATTCTGGAGACCCCCCCCCCCCGCCCTTTATTCTTTCACAGGAGTTTCTTAACTATTCTTGGGCTTTTGCCCTTACATAAAGATAGCTTGCTAAATTGCTCAAAATACTCTGTTGAGGGGCGCCTGGTGACTCAGTGGGTTAAGCCTCTGCCTTCGGCTCAGGTCATGGTCTCAGGGTCCTGGGTTCGAGCCCCACATCTGGCTCTCTCCTTGGCAGGGAGCCTGCTTCCCCCCCACCCGCCTGCCTCTCTGCCTACTTGTGATCTCTCTCTCTCTGTCAAATAAACAAATAAAAATCTTTAAAAAAAATACTCTGTTGGCATCTTGATTGAAATTACCTTGAATCCGTATGTCAACTTGGCAATTTCGATCTTTACAAAATGGAGTCTTCCAATCAATTACATAGTATCCCTGTTTGTGAGATCTTCTTTAACATCTTCCAATGAAGTATTTTTTTATAATTTTTTTATAAACATATAATGTATTATTAGCCTCAGGGGTATAGGTCTGTGAGTCGCCAGATTTACACACTTCACAGCACTCACCATAGCACCTACCCTCCCCAATGTCCATAACCCCACCACCCTCTCCCGACCCCCCCTCCCTCCGGTCACCCTCAGTTTATTTTGTGACATTAAGAGTCTCTTATGGTTTGTCTCCCTCCCAATCCCATCTTGTTTCATTTATTCTTTTCCTACTCCCCAAACCACCCATGTTGCTTCTCGACTTCCTCATATCAGGGAGATCATATGATAGTTGTCTTTCCAATGAAGTATTTTTTTGTAAAGACTTCATTTATCCATTTGAGAGAGAGAGAGAGAGAGAGCAGGAGAGGGGAGAAGTTCAGAGAGAGAAGCAGACTCTCCATGGAGCTGGGAGCCTGACATGGGACTCGATCCCGGGACTCCTGGATCATGACCTGAGCTGAAGGCAGTTGCCCAACCAACTAAGCCACCCAGGCACCCCCAATGAAGTTTTATATTATTCTTCATAAAGATCTGATCTTCAGTATATTGTGTTTTTCCCTCTACTCATTGTGAAGCTTACCCGGTATCCTTTCATTTATTGCCCTTGAAATTTTAACATGCATGCTTAAAGTCCAAAATTAATATCTTAAACACCCCTCTGCAACAATGCAAGGATGTCAGGACATTCACCTCTGTCTTCCTCTCCCATGTTATTTTAGTTTTGCCCTTTTTTTTACCCTGAATTCACGTAATTACCATTCATATATCACACAGACATTCATTTAGATTTGCCGGTTGGCCACTACCACTCCTCATCACTCCTTCTTGCATTGCAAACCTTCCCTCTGATGTCATCTTTCTTCTTCCTAAAACATAGTCCTTAGGAATTCCTACCATATATTTCTCCTGGCTCTCATGGTGCCCAGATGAGACCCCACACACCCTTCCATCAGGAAGTAAATACGTCTGCTTCTGTTTTTTTCTGAGGTGGCACCAACATCGATGGCCAGTGCTAAACTACATTGGGTTTCAGTAACCAAAAATGATTGGAAAGTGACAGGAACCCAGCAGGAAAGAGAGAGTCAACCTACATGGTCAAGAGCCATGGGTGAGGAAAAAATCACGCTACATCAAGTTTTTGGTTGAGATTTTTCCCCAAACTTATGTTCCATGGGGGAGGGAAGACTGTTCATAGGATAAACATCAAAGGAATGAAAAGTGTTGTGTTAGCCTACTGAAGTTATGGGGGGTGTTTGTTCTTCCCATTTTACAACACTTCCATCCAGATGGTTCGACCTCTGTGTGAGGGGGAAATGAATAAAAAGTGGCTGGCTTTGTCCTATTGGTTTTCTCCTCCAGGAGTATGTCGTTGCTCTTCAAGTCAAAGCTCCTTGAGAGCAAGAGTGATTGCCCCTCCCTATAACGACCATAGCACCTTGTTGTACAAAATGGCCGCAGACGCAAACACTCTTTCACAGGGCAGAGCAGCACCCAAATAAGTTGAAACTGTCTTCTCCAGAGTGTATTAACAAGCTTCCAGGCAATAGCACCTCCATTCCTTCAACAGATGCTGACTAAAATACAAACAATCATAAGAGAATATTATGAACAATTATAGGCCAACAAATTGGGCAATCTGAAAGACAGGGGTAAATTCCTAGATACATATAAACGAACGAATGTTCAGGGACTGAACATCTCCTGTCCAGGCCATTTCCTGCACCTTCCCCCTCCCCCAAAATGGTCCTATCTGGAATTAGCCATCTCCCCACCTTCCAGATTGAACCCGCAGCTTCTCTGTTTTTCCATTAGTTCACCAGACTCTTCCCAATCCTTTGGTTCAAGATGTTGGAGGCTTTTCTTTTTCTTTTCTTTTTGGTCTCTATTCCTTATCTTTCTTACCAGCCAGCTATCCAGTTCTGTCGATCCTTCCTGCCCAGGATTTCTACTCATTATCCTACTCTCTGTTCCAGGATGGTGCAGAACTGGTCCCGAGAGAAGGAGGATCTGTGAGACTCTCCAGGGACCTGGAGGGGAGCCAGAGAGACGAAGGCTAAGATGTAGACCAAAGTAGGTGAATCTGGACATTAGTTTCTCCCCAGGCCCAGAGTTATACCCATGCAAGAGCAGGGATAGGGGAAGAAGTTGCTAGATCAAAGAATGGGGGAGAAAAGGGCACTCTGAGGTCCCCGATTATGATTCCCTGGTTACTAACTGGTTCCTCATAGACAAATAGATAAATTTGACTCGATGACGATCTGCAGCCGGTGAGAAGAGCAGCCACCTCGTGTGGGCTTGTGCTAGGACTCCACAGCTGCTGGGGAGAGACAGAAGGTGCTGGTGGTCGGATAGGAGCCCGAAACCACAGCTCCGGGTAGTCAGTCATTCATTCTTTAAATACATTTGAGCACTTGCTTGGTGTCAGGCTTGCTTGGCGCTGAGGGTCTAAGTGTAAATTTGCCCTCATGGAATTTATAGCCGGGAAATAGGGGGAGGGGGAGACAAACATTAGACAATTCTTCGATATATAATGACCAGTTATGATAAGGGCTCAGAGGGACAAGCCCAGGTCTAGGGAGCTGGGGTGGAGTAGGGGCACCAGCCTGGGGCAGGGAAATCCCTCCCCCATCCCATCAGTATCAGGGTCATCATCAGGCCTTTCCCCTCTCCCAAAGTTCCCCTCCCTCTGGCTCAAGAAAAGGGATTTGCCCTCTCCCACTCCTGGACAGACCCACAGACACGAAGGCCCTCTCTTACTCTGTAGCCTCGCATGTTCCACAAGCTCTGGAGTCATGCTTAAGCCCAGCCAGGTCCCTCGCAGCTGTCAAAACCCAAGGAAAGGAGAAAGGAAATTCACCACCTTCTTCCTTCTGCTGCGGGCCCTCATCAGTCCCCACTCCCGACCCCTGCAACGGTCCTGGTGCTCCAGGGGGAGACCAGCTACAACCATTCCTCTGAATTGTGCTCTGTCCCCCAAAATCAAATATTGAAGTCCTCACCCCCAGGAAATAGAATGAGACTCTATTTGGACATAAGGCCCTTTTTAAAAGGGTAATTAAGGTAAAATGAGTTCATATGGGTAGAATTCCAGATGATTTGTCTACTTATAAGAGATTAGGACACACACAGATCAAGGGGCAACCCTCCACAAGGCTCAGTGGGAAAAAAAATCCTTGTGGACACCTGGATCTTGGGCTTCTAGCTTCCAGAACCATGAGAAAATGAACATCTGTGTTTAAGCAGCCCCGTTTATGCTATTTTGCTATGCCGCCCTCCTTCCTCAATTCAGAGGGGGACTGAGGCCCGCTAGGAGGGTGGGGGAGGGCACTTTGCTTCAGGCTGAAAGATGGGCGCTGTGAGGCTGGGAACAGGACCCAGGCCTGCCTCCCAGCAGCAGGGCCCCCTGGCTTGCCCAACAGGATTCTCCACCTCAGTTTCTCCTCCACGGTGTGCATCCGGATTATTCTGTCTAAATACACCTCTGATCGAATTTCCCCATACAAGAACCTCCTGCAGTCCAGCTCCTCCTACCCAGCAAGATCTGAGCAAACTTCCTGGTTCCGCACCCCAGGCCCTGCCGGTTAAGGCCCCAGTCAGTGAGGGCTTCTCCAACACCCACATGCATCAGAATCACCCCGGGAGCACGTGAAAATCCCAGGCCCTCGCCACCAGAGAGATTCCCCTTCCATAGGTCTGGGGTGGGGCCTGGAAGGACACATTTCTAACGAGCTTCCAGGCCACGCTGATGCCACACTTGAGGAGCTCGGGCTCCGCTGCGTTTCCCCAGAACCGCCCCTGCGCCTGCTCGGCCATCAGAGCAGCTTTCTTCTTCCCTCAGCTCCCCAGGCCCTGGAGCCTCTGCCCAGCCTGGGCAGTCGCCAGAAATCCCGGGCTGCCAAGTCCCACAGGGGGCTCAGATCCTGGGACCTCCCAAATCGGGATAAAGTGGAGGGGTTGTGCCGCCTTTTAAAGGGAAGGCTTTAGTGGAATTCGAACCAAAACTGGAGTGACTCCAGTCCAAAGACTGGGGGATCTCAATGAAAAGGCAGACAGCTGGGTCCACCCCCAGACCCCCAGACACAGACCTCCCGTGGAGACACTCTTCAGAAGTCACCCTCTCAATACACAGATGAGCAAAGGGAGTCACAGAGAGGGCAAGGGACTTGGCCCAGGGCACACAGCACGCGCACGTTAAGCAGAGGCTGAGCTAGAGCCCGGGTCTCCTTGGGTGTGAACATTCTGCCCACTGCATCTCACTGCCTCTTCTGAGCCTCCAGGGGGCGCTCCTCTCCCCCTGCCCCTTTCTCACCATCTTCCACCTCCTTTCTGACCACAGCTGGGCCCTGGCATTTGTAGCTAAAGCTGAAATGGAGCCCCCAGGGGATTATAAATCATGCAAAAGGGGGAAAATGGGGGAAAGGGCAGGGGAACCTCTCAGCCGGGAGGGGAGTCGGGCATGCAAAGACACTCAGCCAAGTCCAAGAAGCTGGGGCGGGGCTTGTCCTGGGACATGCCCACATGTGCCACTCACGGACCTCCGACTGGGGAGGGCTCGGAGGGGAGGCCGGGGAACCACAAACAGCAGGCCGGAAGAGAACCTGCCTCTGCCCTCCCTTTGCAACAGCTCGGCGGCGCTTCAGAGCCCAGTGCAAGTGGGGACAGGGGGCTGGTTAGTTAGCTGCTTAGTTCAAGCTTCTTGCTCCTGGACTCGGATTTCTGCTGACAGCCCCAATCCAGCTGGCGGGACTGGATCTGGGGTGTGCACCAAGGGTGGACCACTGCCCAGTGCTGCCCTCTCAGGCCTGCTGCAAGGGGCACCGGGACCCTGCTGGACCCAGGCTAACTGCCTGGGTTAACCGCTGAGGCTAACCGCTAAGGGAGTTGCCCTGGCACCTCAGATCCTGGCTGGGAAAGGCAAGTCCGGCCAGTGGGGGCAGGGCCAGGGCTCCTGGAATCAGGATCTGCAGGCCGAGTTGGAGGTGCTCCATTCCCATGTCACCTGGAGAAAAACTGGACCCACTTCCTGAACCTTTCATCCTGCAGCCGCCCATCTTCCACCCGGTGAGCAGCCACTCTGGTCTGGAATCTCCAGGTCCCAGGGCTTCCCCCCCCCCCCACCCCCCCGACTCCAGCTGGACCCAGACTCCCAGGCGGTGGGTGGAGAGGCCTTCGGTTTTGGGCCATCCTTTCAGCACCTGCTCATAGACTCTGGAAGGTCCTCCTGAGCTTAGCGAAGTGGCTGACCAGCTAATTCCCACTTGGGTGCGAATGATGGGGCTCACCAGGTCCTTTCATTTTAAAAGGAATAGAGCCTGGAGTCAGGGCTGTGCTCCTATCATGTGAAGGGGGCCAGGCTAGGAGGATCTGGGGCTCTTGGGGCACTGAGTACCTAGGGTGGTCTCATCTCCAGCCTGGAAGAGAGTCATGTTGGAACCTCCAACTCAAGGATGGGTGTAGGGGTCCCCTCATGTCCTCCTCCTGCTCAGTGCCCACATGGATTTGCTGAAGTCTGTTTTTGCTTTACAGAAGGCTGAACACCCAGCACACTCCTTCCTCCCATTAATAACGCTAATTATCACTTTCTCTTGACTTGGCCTTCTCCCCCTGGGAGAGCTGTGGCAGCTCGGTAATTACTACAGCCCAGGCCTGGAGCCTGGGAAGTGGGAGGGACGGCAGGACTGAGCCTGGCTAAGCCTTGGGCCCTCCGACAGCCAGCCGGGAGCTCCAGCACCTCCCCGGATGCCTGAGTAATGGGGTGAAGCAGCTCCCCAGTTTACAAGCTCCCTCCTTGCTCTGCAGGCTGCGAGCTCCTACCTGGAGGGCAGCACTGTTGGGGCTCAGGTCCTTCTAGGTGGTTCGGAGAACACGTGAAAGCCAGTCTTGGTTGTGCTGATGTGTACCTGGGACGTGTTCCCATTCATTCTGCAAACACATATTCACAGCCCACACTGTGCCAGGCGAGGCCCTGAGCACAGAAGGGAAAAACAGGGCTTCAGCTCCAGCTAGCCTGAGCCTCCAGCAGAAAATCCAGCCCCCTGCTTTCCCTGTAAGCCCACCAATGGCCAAGCTGGCCATAGAGTGAAGCGTTCCGGGAACACAGGGGACGGAAGGAAAAACTCAGTCACCATAGTGGGCAGTGCTTGGAGAAGGTGTCAGAGAACCTCGAAAGTCAAGTTGGATCTCGCAGGGCCAAGGGAGAGCAGAGGAAGCGGCTCTGAAAAGGCAGAGAGTTGTAAACGTGTGTGTTGTGTTTTAGGAATTCTGCATAGCTTCTGTGTGGGGAGAGGTGAGCCTGGGATGGTAGGCTGGGTGGTTGTTGGGTATCTCTCCTGGCATCCATATCAGGGTCCCAACTTGTCCAGCCTTCTGCCTGCTGCCCGTCTCCCCTGCCCCCAAGTTCCTGGGCTTGAGCCAGTAAACAGCCTCAGGACCTCAATGCCGGGTGCTGGAGGTCAGGGCAAGTCTCACTGAGGACCCTTCTGTGCCCAGGGAGCTGGGAAGAGGGGCAGGGCTGGTGCTCCAAGGGGGCGATGGAGTTGAACTTGGCTTCCCCAGGGCAACGTGGCTTTGACATGTCAGGGTCCAGGAAAGGGGAAAAGGTGGAAGAGAACCCTAATTTTCCCCCCATAAGGACATTTTCTGTTGGGGGCAGGAGAATGGAGTTTTCTTGTTCTTCTCTCCCCCAACCTCTGCCCACCTGATGTGGGCATCCCTCGTAAGACCCATTCCCCAGCCCCATATGGCAAGCTTTCCCCCCTTGTTCAGGTGGTTCCTTATGTCGTGACAATTTTCGGTGGCCTGCGTGCGGGCAAGATGGTCATGCTACAGGGAGTGGTCCCTCTAGAGGCACGCAGGTAAGGGGGTGCTCTGCGGGGCTGCTGGAGCTCAGCCCCAGAGGCATTGAGCTGGAGGCTCCTCTCTGCCTTCGGGGTCTCGGGGTTTCCGACCAGGGGTGCCCTTTCAAGAGCAGCTCTCCCCAGGTTCCAGGTAGACTTCCAGTGCGGCTGCAGCGTGCACCCCCGGCCGGATATCGCCGTCCACTTCAACCCTCGCTTCCACACCACCAAGCCCCACGTCATCTGCAACACCTTACACTCGGGGCGCTGGGAGGCCGAGGCCCGGTGGCCCCGCGTGCCCCTGCAGAGAGGAGCCCCTTTCCGCCTCCTCTTTCTCTTTGGAAACGAGGAAATGAAGGTGAGGGGAAGGGATGGGCTTTGGCGTCTAGAACCTTCATCTTTCTCCTCCTCCTTCCTTCCACCAAATTCTCCACGTCACTGTGAGGAGGAGCATCCCCGGGAGGGCTTAAGACCTGAGAGGACTGAGCAGCCGCTGAGCCTCGCTCCAAGCTGCCCTGGGCCCACGTGGCCTGGGACCCATGGCGGCAAGAAAGCTCTCTCGTGCCTGGCCCTGGCCCTGGCCCTGGGGAGGGCACCAGAGCCATAGTCCTAGCAAGTTCTTTAAGAGCCTGCAATGTGATGGGCTCTGTTCTAGCCCCTCAATATCCACTGGTTAGAGCCTCACGAGGTGGGTAACTCACACCCTGCCCATCTCACGATGGCAGAGGGGGCAGGGCACAGGGAGCGAGAACTCCCCTTCAAGGCTTTCTCCATGGATGGGAACTCCTGCCAGAAAGATGGCAGGACCTTGACCTCTCTGGGGGAAAGGGGAGCTGATGGGAGCCAGCAGCAGAGGGAGGCCCCTGTGGGGGAGAAGTCATCTGGCCTCCTGAACCCCCATTTCCTCACCTGGGGCTGGGGCTTCTGCTGCTGCTGAGGGATGGCCTAGGGAAGTGCTATGTCGGGGCAGAGGGACAATCAAAAGGGCCTTGGTTCCGAGGCCAGCTGTGCAACCTTGGGAAGGTCACAGAAGCTTCCCACGCCTTGGGCACCTCGTCTGCCAAACGTGCCTGTCTCCCAGAGTGGGTGTGAAGTTAAACGAGGGACGGTCCAGGTAAGAGCGCCCCACGAGGCCAGGCAGATTCAGTGCACACTAGGTGCTGCTGAGCTGTCTGTCTGTCTGTCTCTCCAGGTGAGTGTGAATGGACAACACTTTCTCCACTACCGCTACCGGCTCCCGCTGTCCCGTGTAGACACCCTGGGCATATTTGGTGACATCCTGGTGGAGGCTATTGGATTCCTGAACATCAGCGTGAGTTCCCTGAGTGGCGACGGCTCCTGCCTCCCCCTGGTGTCTGGGCGGGCCCGGGAGCCCCTGCTGCCCCAGGCAGGCCCTGTCACACCTATTACAACCATGGTAGAGGGGATCCATCAAGGTGTGGGATTCGAGCCGGGTTGAGAAGGTATCCACAGAAGGGGACCCGAGAGCAATGGCCAGGAGGTGATCTGCTTGGACACTTGGAGCCAGGGGACCCAAGCATCAGTAGCTCTGTCCTTCACCCCTGAGGAGCTTATGGAAAATGCAGATTTCTAGGACCCGCCACCAGACATGCCGACTCCCTAAGTCTGAGGTGGGGCCTAGGAATCAGCATGGGCAAGTGACAGGTTTGAGAACCCCCAACAAGGCCTGCAGGGAGAGTGAGGACCCACCAAAGCCAGCCTCTACCCACCCCAGGGCATCAGCAGGGTAGGCGGGAGCCCTGCAAATGACTCGCAGAGCTCGGCGGGCCTGAATCCCACGTGTTGCGTCTCCTCTTCCCTAACAGCCATTCGCGGAGGGCGGCAGCGAGTACCCAGTTGGATACGTGAGTTTCTGGGGAGCAGGCTGGTCCTCATGGTTCTGGCCACACTAGCTGAGCCACCAGTGTTCCCAGCTCCCCTGGCTTGACCTGCTACTCACTGGACTTGCCCAATTTGACAAAAGCCAGCTGCCCCTTCCCTCACTGGGCAGTTGCCATGGATACTGGTCGCCCCCCTCATTGCCCACAAGCCTGGATTTCCCTCTCCCAGCCCAAGCTGGGGTCTGCTTGGGATGATGGATGGGGTGGGCTGGCTGTGCAGGGTGGGCAGAGCCCCAGGGCTCCTATCAGAAGATCCCGCCAAATTGGAACTTTCCATTGCATCCACCAGGCGAGGGAGCTGGGGTCGGCCTGCAGGACAGAGGGGGAGATGAGGTCCAAGGCCACACAATAAGTGAATGACAGGACCCTCTGTGCAGGTCTAACACATTCTTGCAGACCCAGTGTCCATCTGAATCTAAGAGGGCCCCCCTCAGCGCTCTCATCGTTCACCTGTGTTGTTTTTAAGAGAGACAAACCCCAGATACACCCAATTCTTCATAATAATATTGAGAAGCTCTCTTTCGCTGAGCAAACTCTGCATGGTTTCCATGTCTCCTTTCTCTTTCTTTCTCCCCTCGACAGCCTTTCCTGCTGAAGAGCCACAGCCTGGTGAGTGACCTCCCTCCTGGGTCACCTTGTGGAGGTGTCGTCCTGCGGAAGTACCCCCCCCCGGTGGGAAATGCCCCCAGCATCAAGGTTCCCCCTTCCTTTATAGAAACCTCCAGCTTTGTTTTCCCTTTTCTCCATTTATTCTGCATACCATTATCTGAGATTCTTCGGTGCCAGGCTCCAGAGCAGAGGGACCAGCCAGTCCCAGCCCTCCGGTGGCTCACAGGCTGCTGGAGGGACAGACCAATGAACAGGCCATGACAGTCCAGGATGCACCAGTGGGGGACATATTGTTGCTCACGGCCCCCGGGAAGAGGGGGCAACCACGGAGCTCAGCCCTGAAAGGCCAGGGAGAGCCGAGGCCTGCGGTAGATGTTTGATAAATGAGGATAGTTGAGTGTCCTCCTGGCCGCATGCCTAGAGACAGACACCTGCCGCAGGGCTCCCCTGGGGGCAGCAGCTCTCCCCAGAGCCCTGCGTGCCTCCCTTCTCAGTCATCTCCCATCTCCCTACAGGAGGTGCCCTGCTCGCGTGCCCTTCCCCGGGGTCTCTGGCCCGGACAGGTCATCGTGCTGCGGGGGCTGGTCTTGCCGGAGCCCAAGGAGTACGTATCCACATGGAAGGGAGGGAGAAATCTCCGAATCGATGAGCTCCACAAGCGTCCCCTCTTCCATCTCTAACACCACTGCCCCGTCGTGAAGCTTGTGGCTGCGAGTGTGCTCAGTGCTTAGTCCCAACCACTGAGCACTGGACGGTGCCCAGTGCTCAGGTTGCCCCCACGGCCCCGACAGCCCCAATTCTGGAAGAACCCTCCCTGCCTGTCCATCTGTTCAGGCCAACCAGCCTCTCATCGCAGGTGCCAGCTGGGGCCTCTGGAAAGGTCCTTTAAGGGCTCACGCTGAGACCCAGATAGAGAATTCAACCTCTCAGGGTGACACGGCACAGACTTTGGGAAACATGGCCAGGGAGCCCCAGAGAGAGGGCCTGGTGCCTGGCAGTGGGAGCTTGGAGCCATACACCAACAACACGGGTGCTGCCTAATCTTTCCAACAGGGGGCGCTCCTGCTCCACTCCCGAAACCTACGCACTCCAAAGACACTTTCGCTTTCCTTTTCTTTCTTTTTTTCCTTTCCTCCTTCCCTCCAGCTGGAATTACGTTAGATTTCATGACTTTTCTGGACCCGATCGCCTGGGTTTCACTTCCGCTGAGGGCACTTACTACCTGTGTGCCCCTTCAAGGCAGTTACTTTTCCTTTCCGTGCCTCAGTTTCCTCGTGTGTAAGAAGAGGTAATAATAGTGCCAGCTTCAGGGCTGGCGTGCATGCTCAGAATTGGGCCGGGCACACACTAAGCGCTCTACCAATGTGGGGATCATCAAAATGATCTCCGTGGAGGGGCGGGAGGGAAGGAAAGTGCCCTGTCTTCTCCCTTTCTGTTTCGGTTTTGTTTTCTGGAGTCCCTGACCTCAGTGAACTCTTGCCCTGCCTGCTCTTTCTTGAGCGGGTCCTGTGAATTCTGGAGCAGGTGCGCACCATAGCCCCAGACAGCATGAACCTCCAGAGCCAGGCACAACAGGGTTGGAGTCCTGGTTGGAGTCCTGGCTTGGAGCCACACACCAACTATACAGATGCTCCGTAATAGCTCCAGTATGGGACCATGTGGTCCCATGAACAGTGCAGTCCTTGGGGCAAGTCACGACAGCCCTCTGAGCCTGGAGTCCTGAGTTTCCCCATCGGAATAAAAGGAGAGCGATCATCTCAGTCCTACAGGGAAAATGAAAAAGTTCCCAGGGTTACAAAGAATACCCTCCCCCACAAAAACTTGGGAGACATGATATCAAGTTCATGTCCTAGTTCAAAGTCAAATGGCTAGTATCAGGGACACAGCAAGTAATCAAACTGCTCTTTCTCGAGGGCCAGACGGGTGACAAAGAGCGAAGCCCTGGGTTGGGAAGGAAATGTGGAAAGAGTTTTTCCATAGAGCCACTCAGGCCCAGCCTTCTGATTATTTTTAAAGAAGAAGCAGGAATCCATCTTTCATATAAACTTTCCCAGTTTTGGAACATGGTATGACCTTGAAGTTGAAGAACACTGTGGACCAGCCAGGACATTTCTTTTCTTTTCTTTTTTTTTTTAATTTATTATTTTATGAAGTGGTGTGCTACTTTTTTTTTTTTAAGATTTTATTTATTTATTTGACAGACAGAGATCACAAGTAGGCAGAGAGGCAGGCAGAGAGAGAGGAAGGGAAGCAGGCTACCTGCCGAGTAGAGAGCCCGATGCAGGGTTCCATCCCAGGGTCCCAGGACCATGACCTGAGCAGAAGGCAGAGGCTTTAACCCACTGAGCCAACTAGGTGCCCCCAGCCAGGACATTTCTACAGGCCATTTGGGCCATGGGCCGCCAACAGGAAGACTTAGCAGTGCCTGGCGTTCAGCGAGTCCACAGTAAATGCTGTTACTGTTTTTTTCTGGAATCGACTGCGGCTTGAACTGGACAGAGGAAGTCGCAGTTGGAAGGCACGGAATTCGTCTGCATTAAAAATCTGTCCTTCCCTCTCCATCCCTCCCCACAGCACTGAGGAGGGGGGGACATGGCTGCAGCTGCCACAGGACTTCACTAGGTGTCTGAGGACAGTCCGTTACCATCCAGGGCTGTGCAGGACAGGGATGGGAGAGGCAGGGAGACACTGAGGCCTCTAGGAGTTCTCAGGCCAATGGGAAGGGCTTGGAGCTGGGGGCTAGAGGCTCTGTGTGGTGCACTCTCCAGGACCCTGGCTTTCCAAGCTTCTTCCCAGTGGTGAGCCCTTGCTGGTTCCTTCCCAAAGCTGGAAATGTCCGGGGCGTCCTCCTAGAACATATCCAATGTAGGTCCCTGAGAGACCCACCCAGGGTGCACCTTCCCCAACCCCCACACCCCCACCCCTCCGCTTCCATCCCCTCCCCCTGCTTCGCTGTTCCATGCTATGCCTCCTGGTCTCCCTGGTCTCCCGGCTGTCAGGCTATTATCAACCACTTCTTGATGACCGAGGCATCAGCCACCAGTAACTTCAGAGGTGTTGTTTCAAAGGAAGCTCTCTGGACATGAAAAGGAATCTGGCTCCCCTTTGAGGGGCAGATGCCAGGCAGCAGAAAGGTGCCAGATCTGGAGTCCTGCGTTGTGCCCAGCCCAGGCCAAAGCCTCGAGCTATTACTAGTGAGAGATCCAGCCATGTGACTTCTTGTCCTTGTCACTTACACGGGCTGCTGAACCTCAAGGCACAGGATTTCCGGGAGGACTCCATAAAAATACCTACTGTGTGCCAGGCACTCGATAACTTTCACATACCCTATCTCCTTTGTTCCTGTCAATAGGAGGGATTGGACCGTAGAGTGATATTTGTTACACAGTGGGTGTGATATGTGCTGATTACATGCCCGGTGCTGTTCTAGCACTTTACACAGGAGAGCTCGTGAGGCAGGTACAGTGCCCTTCTCCCCACACTACAGAGCAGGAAATTGAGGAACAGGGACGTGAAGTGACCTCCCCAAGCTCCCAGGACTAGGAAGCAGCGGAGCAGTGTTGAACCCAGGTGGCTCACACCTCCACGTGATTTGCAAAACACTTAAGACGACACAGCATGGAGCACCCTGCACGTGTTAGCTACTACTAATACAATTCTCCCCATCTCAAGGGGGGAAACAAGGCTCAGGCAAGGTCTTTTGCTCCCCCAGGGTCCTCTAGCCTGTGGATGGCAACGTGGGGATTCCCAGCCCCTCTCAGCTGCTCTCCCACATCCGTCCCAGCACTTAGGTTCTGGCAGCCACGGCTCAGAGGAGTCACGGAGCCCCTTCTCCCTCCCCTTCTCATAGCTTCACACTGAGCCTGCGGGACGAGGCCGCTCATGTGCCCGTGATGCTCCGGGCTTCCTTTGCAGACAGAACTCTGGCCTGGGTCTCGCGCTGGTGCAAGGAGCTGATCTCAGCCCCCTTCCTCTTCTATCCACAGCGATTCTTCGAGGTCAGTCGGAGCCAAGTGGCCTGGTCTCTCCAGGGCGGGGCACAGAGCAGCATTCCCATGGGGAGACAGGGGTGCATCCTAGCGCTGGGAAGCCAGAGCCTGCCAGGAGAAGCAGACATCCCAGCCACGGCTCTCAACCCTCCATGCACCCGCCAGCGATCCCACTCCCAAAACGTGGATTTAATCAATCAGAGCAGACCCTGGTTATTTAACCGCCCCCCTCCCCGCAAGTGACTCCAAAGTGCTACCACGGTTGAGAGCCAGCACTCGTGAGAAGGCAGTGGGCACAGATGGTGGGACTGAGGCCCAGGGCTGGGATGATCCTCATGGAAGGTCACAGCAGTCTGGTGATAAGCTGGGCACCCAGGCCTGTTCCTTCCCACAACCGGGTGTCCCACGGTTCCAGTCTTTGTGACCTCCGAGGGGAGAGCTCGCTGGGTGGGGAGTCAGGCAGGCAGTGGAGGGTCAGTCTGTCCAGAAGCCTGTAGACCCCTCCTGTCCTTTTCCAGGTGCTGCTCCTGTGCCAGGAGGGAGGGCTGAAGCTGGCGCTCAACGGGCAGGGCCTGGGCGCCACCAGCCTCCAGCGGCAGACCCTGGAGCGACTGCGGGAGCTCCGGGTCAGTGGCAGTGTCCAGCTCTACTGCGTCCACTGCTGAGGAATGAGCCAGGGACCCCACCAGGGAAGGGGAGGGCCATGCCCGGCACCCCTTGGTGTAGCTCCACTCTCTACCCTTCCTTGAACCGTGTATCTGTCACCACCACCAGAGTCTGCAGGGGCTTTGGGTCCCACATCAGAGGGAAGCCTCCTCCAACTCGGGGCCCCCTCCACCAGGAGCCTGGGACTTGGCTCTCTCCTCCTGCAGGCCCTAGACAGGGGGCAGGGGGAGCAGCCTAACAAGGACACTCAAAGGTACAGCGGCTAAGGGGCACCCGGGTGGCTCGGTCAGTTAAGCATCCAACTCTTGGTTTCAGTTCAGGTCAGGATCTCAAGGTCATGAGATCGAGCCCCATGATAGGCTCTGCACTCAGTAGGGAGTCTGCCTGAGAGTCTCGCTCTCCCTCTCCCTCTGCCCGCCCCCTCCGCCCTGCTCAAGCTCTGTCTCTCAAATAAATAAATAAAATCTTTTAAAAGGCGAAGACAACAACAACAGTGGCTTAAAGCATTGAGACATGTGTTTCCTTCTCATCTAATAGTTCTGGGGAAAATGGTCCCCGGTCAGGGGTGCAGCTCTGCTCCCTGTGGACCTTTAGGAGGGTCCCAGCCACGGTGCCCGCATTCCCAAGGCACCGGCACCATCTGGGGGGCTGAACCTCGGCTGCCACCATCCCTAGGTTTCGGTCACTGAGAAAATAATTAGGGAATGTGGACGAGGCCCACTTGCTTTCAGAAGCCCTGGCCTAGGCTTGGCACACCCTGTGTAAATTCGCATCTCCTCCACCAGCAATAGGTCACGGGGCCACGGGGGGAAGGAAGGCTGGAAACGAGCTCTCGCAGGAGGGCCCAGTGCCTGGCCACATGCCTGGCCACGGTTCCCCCACTGTGATTCCTGGTATGTGGGGAACTATGTATACCGTCTTATTTTGTGTTTTCCACTTCCTGGGCTAGTTTCCCCCCATATTTTCAGCCTCCTTGCTTGCTGGGGGATTGATGAAATCTTTATCACCCTCCCCACTTTTTTTGCTGTTGTTAGAGTGGTTTGGAAGTTTGAAACTGCATTCTACACTTCTGGTGGTTTTATTAGTAATAAAAATCTTAAAAAAAAAAAAAAAGACAAACTGCAATTAAATTGGGTAGTAAGCCCCAGTTTAGGAACTCTAAGTGACACATTTTGGTTCCTTTTTAGCAACCTCAATAAACCCAACTTAAAAAAAGAAAAAAAGCCTAGTCCACAGGGGCGTCTGGTTGCTCACTCAGAAGAGCATACAGCTCTTGATCTTGGAGTCATGAGTTCGAGCCCCACATTGGATGTAGAGATTACTTAAATAAATAAAGACTTAGGGGCGCCTGGGTGGCTCAGTGGGTTAAAGCCTCTGCCTTCGGCTCGGGTCATGATCTCAGGGTCCTGGGATTGAGCCCCGCATTGGGCTCTCTGCTCAGCAGGGAGCCTGCTTCCTCCTCTCTCTCTCTGCCTGCTTCTCTGCCTACTTGTGATCTATGTCTGTCAAATAAATAAATAAAAAATCTTTAAAAAAAAAGACTTAAAACAAAAATTAGTCCGTGGAAGGTAATCATTGATGATAATCATTCAAAGTTCGTTCAATTAATTAATTCATGAAAGGATGAGAGAAAGAACCTTGCTTTCTTTACTTAAATATTAAAGACACTGGTAAAAATGAAGTTGAAGCTAAAATACATTCGAAAGCAATCTCCTGGGCTAAGACACGAACACTTTCAAAGTAAGATCAGCTACTTCCACCCATACCCTGACTGCATATTCCCGATGTCCAGGGAGTTCTTCAGACATGCTTGTTCCTGGTCCCTAGAGCGATGAAATCGGAATGTCTGGGTGTGGGCCCTGGGCCTCAGAATATTTTTAAGATCTCCCAGGAGAGTCTGACATGCAACCAGGATTGAGAATAACTATCTCAGGCCTTGAACACTCTGGAAATTTCCATACCCTTTGACAAATGAAATTTCTCCAGGAAAGAAGTCGCCTCATGCCGGGCCAGTGTAGCCCTCGGTAGGGACTAGTGACCAGACCGCTGAGAGCCAGGCTTGAGGGATGGGACCCAGGCTATGGGAGGGCGGGGTAGAGGGAAGGGAAAAGTAACAATGCCAGAGAAGGTGAGGACACCCAAAATTAGGGAGCCAAGACCCCAGTACATAGCAAGAGCAGGAGGGAGAGTGGAGAATGTGCCAGACTCAAGGAGACGGGATCTATGCTGATGAGTGTCAGGTAGGTTCTGGGACCTCTCTGAGCCACAGCTCCGTCCAGTATAGAATGGGGATGGTCCGTCATTGCTCTGATCACTCCACAGGGCTGTGAGGCTCACATGTGAGCAGCCCTGTCCGTTTTCCAGCACTTTCCCACACACTTCATGCCTGTAAAAACCCTGTGATGTAGACAGGATAAGAAGAAAGCCAGGCAGACTGGCCCAGTAACTTCTCAGAGATCATGGAGCTGGGCTGGGGGTGCCAGAGTCAGAACCAGCTCTTCCTGTCTCCTGGTCAGTGCGGGCTCTCGGGGCTCTCCAATGACTCTCCCCCGGAACGCGGCTCCCGAAGCATACAGCCTGAGCTCAAATCCCGCTGCCTCCGCGAGCTTAGACGTCATGGCTTTGGACAAATTCAGCGTGCTCACATGGAAAGGTACGGGCAGTCCCATCAATCCAGCAGGATGGCGGTGACTTTAGGAGTCACAAGCACTTAAAATGCCTCATACTGAGTTGGAAGTCCACGAATGGTGGCTGCTGGAAGTGTGAGAGATACTAATCTGCCCCCCCCCAAGGTTGCCAGCGCCCCTCCCCCGGCACGAGCAGAACCCTAGGAGTTGGCATCTCCCCTGTGAGGACACATCTCAGATCGGTGATGAAGTACTCACCATCACTTTCCAGACAGGTGGACGCCCTCCGTTCGAAGATCTTCTCCTTCACAGAACTGATGACCTTGTCCACACACGCCACAGCTGGTGCTGGTCATGGGGTTGTTGACCCGGTTGCTTTAGGATGTGAAGAACCTACTGGGAGTTGAAGACAGACACACTCTTGACTCTGGGAGGCATCGCTGTGGCACCAGGAGTCAGAAGCAGAACTCACAGATTCTGAAGGGCCCGGTGTCTCCATGGGGCCAGGCTGACGCTGTGTGGACCGTTTTGCAAACAAGTTCTGTTTGGGACCCACGCGAGGGCTTGCCTTAACAAACAAACAAACAAATGCAATTCAGTTGATGTACACCAAATCTCATCCTGTAGAGAATAAAGGTCCAGAATTTTCTATTTCCAAAGAATTCAAGGGGCTTAATAGGAAAGAACAAGTAGGCACTTGCTCATGCTTCTAAACCCAAGCGTTGATGTCTAAACAGAAAACATTTCCCCGTTTGCAGGGGCCACGCTCCCATCCCCCATGTGGTTGGCCCCGTGCTTACAGCCAGTCTGAAAAATCTCCAGCCGGTCTCGGGGTCTGGCGTCTGGCCTGCTCCATCGGCGCGTGGGGAGAACAGTGAGGTGTGAGCGCTTGTCGCATGAGGGATGCCTGGCCCCGCTGCCTCCCTTTGCACAGGTGCCAGACATTGGAGTCTGGGAAAAACAACCCACTCTCCCACCTCCGAGTTGTGGAAAAGGAAAAGTCGTGGAAAAGTCGGGAGTACACATTCATTCAGATGTGCGTTCACACGCACGTGCATGTGTGGCTGTGTTTCTGCACATATGTTGTCATGACAACGTATGTCCCAGCATCTTTCTGACCTATCCTAGCACCACAGCCGGCCAAGGCAACATTGGAGAGTCCATGCTGAGCCCCTTCCCTCCTTGCAGACTGACCACAAGCCAGCACCCGTCCTGCTTATGGTGTCCACGCCCACGTCAAGGCCCTCTCTTAGATCCTCTCCTGGCTTTGGGATGTCTTTCTTCTGTCTTGGCTGAGGTCCTAACAGCCAGCTCGGTCAAGGAGCGGGATCTTGTGGGCCACAGAGCTGTAGGCAGGGGGTGGACCTCTGCCAACCAGCCCTCCCATCTGCACAACCCGAGAAAGAAGCATTATCTCCCCTTGTTCAGAGGCAGGAACTGGGGTCCTGGAGGATGGTGATTTGTTCAAGGTCACTTGTGTGAAAAGGCTGAGCTGGGTCCCTCCTCTGCCCACATTTCCCACTAGTGGTCCCATGGCCCTGTCTTCCAGACCCCATTCCTTGATGTCAGTATTCGACCCAGGACACCCCAGCCGCAAGGATCAATGCCTTTTCTGTTCCTCTTCTTCTATGTTCCTGATCTGGACAGTGACATCCTACTCTCCAACCCCTCATTTCAGGCTTCCCAATCCCAAAAGAGAGCCATCCTAAGTCCACCATCTTCCTCAAACACCCCTTCCCTCCACCCCACCTCCACCCCTGCCACTTGTGTTCAGCCACAAAGTCCAGTCAATGCTAGCTCTAGAATTTTCTCCTGAATTCTCCTCCTCATCTCTTTCCCACCCTCTGACACAGTTCAGGGCAGCCCCTGTCCCTGCTTCCATGACCCCATAGCCTCTTGACAAGTTTCCCTGCCTCCTGTCCCTGCTACCCCACATCCAGTCTCCCCAAGACCCACTGTGGCCTTCTCAAGGGGCACATCTCATTATGACCTTCCCATGGCTTCAGGGCTCAGTGCACACACTTTGGGCAGCTCACAGGCTCTGCTGACCAGCCCTTCCTCATCCCTCCTCACCCTCCTCGCCCTCTGCCCCCAGGCTGACTGGCTTGCCCTTCACCTCAACACAGAGCTGGCTCCTGCCTCTGGTCTTCTGCATATCTGGCTGTCTGAGTCACAGTCACCTCCTCACCCCCTCCCTTCCTCTTCTCCCCCACATCAAGCATCCTTCTGAGCAGCTGCCCTCAGGGCCCCAGACTGCCTCAGCGGCCACTCTCTGGGCCCCCAGGTCCCTGGGACCTGTACCTCCCTCTGCATGGATCGTGTCCTGCTGGGATTCCCTGTGTCTATCTGCACCTCCCTCTGGGCTTTGAGCTCCCCTGGGGCAGGATCCTGTATGTTACCCCCACCCAACCCCCCCGGCTCCTTCCTCTCCAGGATCCAGTGAAGGGTCTGGCCTGGAATGGGGGGGCAGAGGGACTCTGCATGGAAAAGGGGCTGGAGGGTCCACGGGGCAGGGACATGGGGCCCAGCGACTCCCTTCTCTCAGCCGGGGCACATCAGGCCTGGGAGTGGTGAACACAAGACGTCAATTTACTTCATCTCTAAATACAGAAGGGCACAGCCAGGGCACTGTCACCAGGAGCCAAATTCGGAGCTTGTCCCCTATCTGGATGAGGACACAGGACAGTTCCCTTCCAGAGTTCCCTTCCAGACAGCCTTTCTTTTTCCAGGTTATAAGACAAAAGGAATTGTTCCATTTCCTGGAATAAATGTACAGACATATCTTGTGTCTTCCAGAGGTAAACCACAGAACAGAAACTGAGGCTTCCTGCTACTTCGATGACCCAATAGGTGGGACTGGTCCGGACCTCAGAGGAAGGACGGTAGAAGGAAGGGGAGCGACCGAGGTGCTGTTGGAGGAAGTGAGGAGCTCTAAACCCTGGGCAGGAGCAGAGGCAGGCAGAGTGGGGGTTAGTTCACCTCCCCAAGCCTTGCCGAATAGAGGCTTCTCTGTGAAGGGAGTGTGAGCAAGCTGGGCCCTAACGGCCCAGACAGACACAGCTTCTAGAACAAGACCCAGCTCCCTTCACGTATCACTCACCATGCCTCCCCATCCCTACAAGCCAGGCATGCGATGGAGCCGTGTGGACACAGACAGCACATAGCCCCTTGGCCAAGACCTCATAGACCCCCAGAGAAAGCAGGCTTTCTTATAATAATGGAATTTTCATATGAGTTTTCAAAATAGCAGCTGGTGCCCACTCTCCCCAAGACCAACAACGCAGACTGAGGGAGCCACTCACCGTAGATTTTCCTTTATAAGCAGGAGGACTCGGAGTAGACACCAGGGAGTGGAGGTTAAGCAAGTGTGACACCTGCTGCTTTCCTGCCCCGCCTTCCGGATGAACTCTGAGAATCTCACTTTCGGTTTCATGCTGCCCTGCTCAGAGTCAATCACTCACTAACCAAGCAGCGAACAAAACTCTGAAGCCTAAAAAGAGACCATGATGGACAATCACACAGGGATTCTTGACACACAGAAGTAGAAGAGAAATAGTGTCTCTGGGCAGCCACGCCTGACCCAGTCTTGAAGCCAGCACAACCTCCCTAACGCCCACCTGAGGATTTCATCAGCTTTGCAGTGCCAAAAAACAACCCCAGGAGCTCAGAGGCTTAGCACAACAACCACTTCCTTCTTCCCATAACCTGGGGGCTGGGGGTCAGCTGAGAATCTTCTGGGCTCTGCTGAGTTTGCATCCTGGTATCCCAGTGGAAGGAGCAGCCTCTAGCTGGGACATGTCTTGTGACAGAGGACACAAGAGCCGAAGAAGCCAAGCCTAACCATGCACTCTCGTTTAAAACTTCTGCTCAGAGGTGGGAATCGACATGTATGCTCCTTTGCTCCCCTTGGCCAAAGCAAATCCCATGACCAAGCCCGAAGTCAGTGAGGAACATGGACGAATCACACGATAATGGCAGGGAGGTGTCATCTTTATGGTGAGGGTGCATAACAGGGGATCCTGTCTACCACAAGGACATTCTTTCCACGGCCCTTCAGAAACTGAATTCCCAGGAGGTATTTGCCTAGAAGGAACTGGAGAGTGATGGGTGGAAGGCACCACATCCACAGCAAAAGCACAGATGGGATCTAGGTTAGGTTCTCTCGGGCACAAAGTATACACTGCATTCACTGGAACATCTTCAGCTAAAAGTAACAGAGTTAAACTACAACAGATTCAGCAGTGAGGAAATATTACTATCACTTGTATACCAAGAAGTCAAGAGATGGCGGGGCTTGTCAGAGGGCCCTTGATAACATCAAGCACACCCCCCACCCTCCTCCTGTCATCAATCACGTTCTTCTCGGTGTCTACAGTATCAGCCCTCATGGGGGCAAAATGGCTGCAGCAGCTCCATATGTCCCATTCTCACATGACTGTGTCCAAAGGCAGAACACAAGGTAATTTATCATGTGTCTCTTTTTACCAGGGAGCAAAATCTTTCCCAGAAACCTTTCAGACAGACTGGCTATTCGTAGTCATCATCACTCTCTGAGGCAGGGGCCCATTTTGGTTTCCCAGACCAATCAGGATTCTAGCCATGAGAAGACTGAGAAGTCAGCATATCAGTGGGTCTTTTTTTTTTTTTTTTTTAATTAGTATCCAGTCTGACACCATGTGTCTTCTGATTGGGACATTTAGCCCATTTACATCCAGGATAACTATTGAAAAATATGAATTTAGTGCCACTGTTTCACCTGTAAGGTGACTGTTACTGTATATTGCTTCTGTTCCTTTCTGGTCCATATTACTTTTAAGCTCTCTCTGCTTAGAGGACCCCTTTCAATATTTCTTGTAGGGATGTGTGGTGATTGCAAATTCTTTTAGTTTTTATTTGTCCTGGAAGCTTTTTATCTCCCCTTCTATTTTCAATGACAGCCAAGGTGGATAAAGTATTCTTAGCTGCATATTTTTCTCATTTGGTGCCCTGTATATATCATGCCAGCCCTTTCTGGCCTGCCAGGTCTCTGTGGATAGGTCTGTTGCCAATCTAGTGTTTCTGCCCTTGTAGGTTACAGACCTCTTTTTCCTGAACTGCTTTCAGGATTTTCTCTTTGTCTCTGAGATTTGTAAGTTTTACTATTAGATTGGTCAGAGTGTTGACCTATTTTTACTGATTTTGAGGGGGGGTTTCTGTGCCTTCTGGATTTTGATGCCTGTTTCCTTCCCCAAATTAAGGAAATTCTCCACTATAATTTGCTTCAATATACCTTCTGCCCCCCATCCCCCGCCTCTCTTCCTTCTTCTTAGGGATCCCAATTATTCTAATATTGTTTTGTCTTATGGTATCACTTATATCTCAAATTCTCCCCTCGTGGGGCGCCTGGGTGGCTCAGTGGGTTAAAGCCTCTGCCTTCGGCTCAGGTCATGATCCCGGGGTCCTGGGATCGAGCCCCGCATCAGGCTCTCTGCTCCGCAGGGAGCCTGCTTTCTCCCCTCTCTCTCTCTCTGCCTGCCTCTCTGCCTACTTGTGATCTCTCTCTCTGTGTCAAATAAAAAAAAAATTCGGGGCGCCTGGGTGGCTCAGCGGGTTAAGCCGCTGCCCTCGGCTTGGGTCATGATCTCAGGGTCCTGGGATCGAGCCCCGCATCGGGCTCTCTGCTCAGCAGAGAACCTGCTTCCTCCTCTCTCTCTGCCTGCCTCTCTGCCTGCTTGTGATCTCTCTCTGTCAAATAAATAAATAAAATATCTTAAAAAAAAAAAAAATTCTCCCCTCGTGATCCAGTAGTTATTTACCTCTCTTTTTCTCAGCTTCTTTATTCTCTATCATTTGGTCTTCTATATCTACTAATTCTTCTGCCTCATTTATCTTAGCAGTAAGAGCCCCCATTTTTTTATTGCACCTCATTAATAGCCTTTTTGATTTCAACTTGGTTAGATTTTATTTCTCTAGAAATGGAATCTCTGGTATCTTCTATGCTTTTTTTTTAAAGCCCATCCATTAATAATACAAGAATAGTAGGGGACTTTAACAGTCTTCTCACTGACATGAACAAATCATCTAAGCAAAAGATCAACAGCGAAATAAGGGCCTTAATTAACACACTGGACCACATGGACTTCATAAATATATTCAGAACATTCCATCCCAAAGCAACAGAATACACATTCTTCTCTAGTGCACAAGGAAACATTCTCCAGAATGGACCACATCTTGGGTCACAAATCAGATCTCAATTGGTACCAAAAGATTGGGATCATTACCTGCATATTTTCAGACTCAATCACAAGAGGAAAATTGGAAAGAATTCAAATATATGAAGGCTAAAGAGCATCCTACTAAAGAATTAATGGGTCAACCAGGAAGTTAAAGAAGAATTGAAAAAATTCAATGGAAACAAATGAAAATGAAAACATAACTGTTCAGAACATTTGGGATGCAGCAAAGGCTGTCCTAAGAGGAAAGGATATAGCAATATAAGCCTTTCTCAAGAAACAAGAAAGATATCAAATACACAACCTAACCTTAGAGCTAAAGGAGCTGGGAAAAGAACAGCAAATAAAACCTAAACCCAGGAGAAGAGAAATAATAAAGATTAGAGCAGAAATCAATGAAATAGAAACCAAAAGAACAGTAGAACAGATCAACAAAACCAGGAGGTGATTCTTTGAAAGAATTAATAAGATTGATAAACCCCTGGCCAGACTTCTCAAAAAGAAAAGAGAAAGGATGCAAATAAGTAAAATCATGATTGAAAGAAGAGAGATCACAACCAACACCAAAGAAATACAAACAATTATAAGAACATATTATGAGCAACAATGTGCCAACAAATTAGACAATCTGGAAGAAGTGGATGCATTTCTAGAGACGTGTAAACTACCAAAACTGAACCAGGAAGAAATAGAAAACCTGAACAGACCCATAATGAGCAAAGAAATTGAAGCAGTCATCAATTCTCCCAACAAACAAGACCCCAGGGCCAGATGGTTTCCCAGGGGAATTCTACCAAACATTTAAAGAAGAACTAATGGGTGCCTGGGTGGCTCAGTGGGTTAAGCCTCTGCCTTCAGCTCAGGTCATGATCTCAGGGTCCTGGGATCAAGCCCCACATTGGGCTCTCTACTTGGCGGGGAGCCTGCTTCCTCCTCTCTCCCTCTTTGCCTGCCTCTCTGCCTACTTGTGATATCTCTCTGTCAAATAAATAAATAAAATCTTAAAAAAAAATAAAGAAGAATTAATACCTATTCTGAAATTGTTCCAAAAAATAGAAATGGAAGGAAAACTTCCAAACTCATTTTATGAAGCCAACATTACCTTGATCCCCAAACCAGACAAAGACCCCATCAAAAAGGAGAATTACAGACTAATATCCTTGATGAACATGGATGCCAAAATTGTCACCAAGACACTGTCCAGTAGGATCCAACAGTACCTTAAAAGTATTATTCACCACCACCAAATGGGATTTATTCCTAAGCTGCAAGAGTGATTCAACATTTGCAAATCAATCAACATGATACATCACACTAATAAAAGAAAGGACAAGAACCATATGATCCTCTCAATTGACGCAGAAAGCATTTGACAAAGTACAGCATTCTTTCTTGATTAAAACTCTTCACAGTGTAGGGATAGAGGATACATACCTCAGTATCATAAAAGCCATCTATGAAAAACCCACAGGAAATATCATTTTCAATGGGGGAAAATTTAGAGCTTGTCCCCTAACGTCAGGAACATGGCAAAGATGTCCACTCTCTCTCACCACTGTTATTCAACATCGTACTAAAAGTCCTAGCCTCAGCAATCAGACAACAAAAAGAAATAAAATGCATCTGAATTGGCAAAAAAAGAAATCAAACTCTCACTCTTTGCAGAGGACATGATATATAATGTGGAAATCCCAAAAGACTCCACCCCAAAACTGCTAAAACTCATACAGGAATTCAGTAAATTGACAAGATATAAAATCAATGTACAGAAATCAGTTGCATTTCTATACATCAACAGCAAGACAGGAGAAAGAGAAATTAAGGAGTTGATCCCATTTACAATTACACCCAAACCCACAAGATATCTAGGAATAAATCTAACCAAAGAGGCAAAGAATCTGTACTCAGAAAACTACAGAATATTCATGAAAAATTGAGGAAGACACAAAGAAATAGAAAAACATCCTATGTTCATGGTTTGGAAGAACAAGTATTGTGAAAATGTCTGTGATACCTAGAGGAATCTACACATTTAATACAATTTCTATCAAAATACCATCAACTTTTTTCAAAGAAATGGAAACAATAATCCTAAAATTTGTATGGAACCAGAAAAAAACCTGAATAGCCAGAGGAATGTTGAAACAGAAAAGCAAAGCTGGTGGCATCACAACTCTGGACTTCAAGCTGTATTACAAAGCTGTAATCATCAAGACAGTCTGGTACTGGCACAAAAACAGACACATAGACCAATGGAACAGAAATAGAGAACCCACAAATGGACCCTCAACTCTATGGTCATCTAATCTTCGACAAAGCAGGAAAGAATGTCCAAAGGAAAAAAAAAAAGACATTCTCTTCAACAAATGGTGTTGGGAAAATTGGACAGCCACAAGCAGAAGGAAACAACCATTCCTTACACCACACACAAAAATAGACTCAAAGTGGACGAAAGACTTAAATGTGGGACAGGAAACCATCAAAATCCTTGAGGAGAACATGGTCAGCAACCTCTTCGATCTCAGCCACAGCAACTTCTTTCTAGAAGCATCACCAAAGACAAGGGAAGCAAGGGTAAAAATGAACTATTGGGACTTCATCAAGATGAAAAGCTTTTGCATAGCCAAGGAAATAGTCAACAAAACCAAAAGACAACTGACAGAATGAGAAAAGATATTTGCAAATGACATATCATATAAAGGGCTAGTATCCAAAAATCTATAAAGAACTTATCAAACTCAACACCCAAAGAACAAATAATCCAATCAAGAAATGGGCAGAAGACATGAACAGACACTTCTGCAAAGAAGACATCCAAATGGCCAGCAGAGACATGAAAAAGTGCTCCACATAACTTGGTGTTATGTGAATATGGTGCAATTCAAAACCACAGTGAGATACCACCTTAGACCAATCAGAATGGCTAAAATGAACAAGTCAGGAAAAAACAGATGTTGGCAAGAATGCAGAGAAAGGGGAACCCTCCTACAATGTTGGGAATGCAAGCTGGTGCAGCCACTCTGGAAAAAAATATGGAGGCTCCTCAAAAAGTTGAAAATAGAACTACCCTATGACCCAGATACAAAGATACAAAATAGTATCTTTGTATTTACACCAAATATACAAAGATAGTGATCCGAAAGGACATGTGCACCCCAAAGTTCGTAGCAGCAATGTCCACAAAAGGCAAACTATGGAAAGAGCCCAGATGCCTATTGACAGATGAATGGATAAATAAGATGTGGTCTATATATACAATGGAATATTACGCAGCCATGAAAAGATGAAATCTTGCCATTTGCAATGACATGGGTGGAACTAGAGGGTATTATGCTAAGCGAAATAAGTCAGTCAGAGAAAGACAATTATCATATGATTTCATTGATACTTGGAATTCGAGAAATAAGGCAGAAGAGGGTCACAGGGGAAGAGGAGAAAAAATGAAACAAGACTAAACCAGAGAGGGAGACAAACCATAAGAGGCTCTTAATCTCAGGAAACAAAGGTTGCTGCTGGAGTGGAGGGGGTGGTGCAAGGGATGAGTGGCTGGGTGATGGACACTGGGGAGGGTATGTGCTATGGTGAGTTCTGTGAATTGTGTAAGACTGATGAATCACAGACCTGTATCCCTGAAACAAATAATACATTTTATGTTAGTAAAAATTAAAAAATTAAAATTAAAAAAATTAAAAGTGCAAAAAACAGGTAAAAGAAGAGGAAGAAGAAGAAGGTGGAAGAAGAAGAAGAAGAGGAGGAGGAGGAGGAGTACTGGGAGGTGCAAGTAGGTGACTATTTGAGGAAAAATGGTGTGGGCCAGGGCTCTATACAAAAAAAGTATTCAGTGGAAGAGTATTTATAGGCAATAACTATATTCAAACCAATCAGATGAGTTCCTCTGGAATTCAGGCCAAGCAAGTCTGAATATGGTGCAGCCCTGTGCGCCATGGGAGCCTCTCATTTGTCTTCTCCTAAGGGACTGTTCTTTCCTTGTATCTGTTCTTTGCTGACCCAGTGTGGATTTTTCATGCTCTCTTTTGGTTCCCCCGCCCCAAAGCGAGGTCTGGAAAGTGCCATTTCATAGCAGTTTATAGACAAGGAGCTACTGGAACCTGGTACTCCCCCAAATTCTCTTGAGTGTACTCTCCACATGTTGATAGTCCCAACATTGTGGATCCTGCTTCCCAATTTAGAATTTAAAAACTGACCTTCCTCCCTAAGTGCAAAGAGGGATTTAAGTTCTGTTGGCACACGCATCCACAGGGGTCTTGGTGTGCAGTGAATCATACTGGGGAAACCGCTAGGTCCCCAACATTTCTTTCACGGGTGCAATATTGCTTTTGGCTTCCTTCCAGTTGCTTTCTTTTGCCTCTTTCTGCATAAGAAAGGATCAAAGGATCAAAGACAATATAAGGGGCTCTAACAACTGTTGCTACATCCCTTCCAACTACACCTTGGGGAATAAGTGAAAAAACACAGGATATCCAGGCATTTCCTTAGCTTTAAGCCAGTTTTTTTTTTTTTTTTTTTTTAAATCTCTGAAAATTCTAGACATGTTCCTCTCCAGTCACAGTTTCCTGATACCTGCCATGGATCCCTAGGGATAAAATCGGGAGGAAAATGTACAGAACATACTTGTGATGTTTTCATAGGGCTTTTCTTCAAAGTAAGTCGGTGTCTGCTGTCCTGGAGGAGATCTGGGTCTGTGATCCAACTCAGGTCTGGCTATTGAGTAAGACGCCATAATTCTGCATCAGGCTTCTGAGACCAGACATAAAGGATTCTCAGCTGTGCAACTCCAGTAAGAATGAGTTGACTCCTCAACTGTTTTCTGTTCTAGGGACTGACTGACCACATCCCTGCCACCGAAGATGCCTGTGGGCAAACAATTTTTATTCATACTCCAACGTTTTTGTGCCTCAGGGAACCTTGTCTCTCGTGTTTAAATGTTCTTGCTTTGGGATCGCATCACCCCTATTGAAATCAGGAGTCTGTTTCCATGGACACACCTCTCACTTATGTTGCTTGCTTGCAAAGTAGAGCCTCTCCTGTGCTTTTTAAGTGACACATGCCTTGGGCCAGAGTCCCGCTCCAGATGGGGAGCCACAAGAGGAACAGCTCAGGGGGTCAGACCTCAGCTGCAAATCCAGGATCTGCAGAGGGGCTCCTGCCGCCCCGTGAACAGCTTGGACCTTGGACCTGGAGCCAGAGGATGACGTTAGTAGAGGGAGTGCCCTTCCTGGGCCCCCCGAGCATAAGCTCATTCTGATGGGGGTCCTGCTCACAGCAACAAGCCTGCTGCATTCTCTGCCAGCCGCTAAGCCAACTGCCCCCGCTTCTCCTGCCAGACCCTGTGGGAAACCACCGTGATTGTCTGAAAACCAGCTGCAGCCTCTTTGTAGCCTTATAATAAAGCCGTTATGACAGTGGATGGGAAGCAGGTAAGTGCATCTTATGTGTTGGTGACCCAGCCAGGGGCCATCTCCCCGTCCCACCCCCATGACACACATGGTCGCTGGCCTTCTCCCAGGCTCACAGAGCCTTGCTGTTCACGGGGCAGCAGAAGCCCCTCTGCAGATCCAGGTGATGGACTGGGAGCGGTCTGAGACTGCCAAGGAAGGCCTCGACTGGTTTCGGAGAAGAAAGGTGACCCAGTTCCAGGCAGTGAAGGGCGGGAATGAGACAGTCAGGGGTGATGGGAAAGCTGTAACTCCCAGGAACCCAGAGGCACGTGATAGGTGATGGAGTCGGTTGGACGTTGGACTCTTGGTTGTAGCTCAGCTCCTGACCTCAGGGTTATGGTCTCGAGTCCTGCGTCTGGCTCCAAGCTCAGCACAGAGCTGGCTTCGAAGTCTGTCTCCCTCTCCTACTGCCTCTCACCTGATGGTCACACGAACACATGCGCTCTCTCAAGATCAAACAAATAAATAAATCTTTTTTAAAAAGAGAGAGAGAGAGAGACAAGTGATGAGAAACATCTCCCTTCACTGCCTTTGGACACTGCCAGGTCAACACATGCCCCTCGCGTCTGTTGCAGCCTCAGCAGACCAAGGCGGCCGGCCTCCAGGTAGCTTGGGACCGTAGTAGGACTAACTCCATCTTGAATTCACTTTGCTTTGAATGTTTCTCCCTCCCTTGTTACTCCACAGTAGACCCATTCGTACGCTGTAAGCGCACTGGGGGAACTCGCTGACCTTGGGGTAAACCCGAATGGGGGAACTAGCTGACCTCTAGATTTTAATGAGAACACTGAAGTAAGACCAGACACATTGCACAAAATAAACTAACCAGCACACTCTTTCACGTCACTCCCTAAACCTTCATTACTATGAGCTTGCAGTAATCGGTTCTGTTTAGAGTTTCTTAGGGAACTTGAAGAGCCTGGCCCAGGTTTATTGAAGACATTTGACCGATGGCTCAAGGCCTGGGGAAGCTTTGGCAGGTCTCTTTTTCATTCCTCTTCTCCTTTAGAAGACCTGCCTGCATGGAGATGGGAGGATGAATTTGGGGGACATCAGTATGCCATCTTCTCTCTTAGCTAGCTTTCTTTTTTTTTTTTTTTTAAGATTTTATTTATTTATTTGACAGAGAGAAATCACAAGTAGGCAGAGAGGCAGGCAGAGAGAGAGGAGGAAGCAGGCTCCCCGCTGAGCAGAAAGCCCGATGCGGGGCTTGAACCCAGGACCTGGGATCATGACCCGAGCCGAAGGCAGTGGCTCAACCCACTGAGCCACCCAGGCGCCCCTTAGCTAGCTTTCTTAACAAAAATCGTTTTCCATGCCCCAACACTTGGTCTCTCTCCATTTACTGGCGTGTCCTACAGTGAGCAGATCGGACCTGGGTTCAAGGACAAGCCACAGTGATTCCATCTTCTGAGGTGGGTAATCACTGGCCCTTCCATATAGAACAAATGTTTACTCTCCTTAAAAAAAAAAAAAAAAAAAAAGAAGTTTATGGTGGCTTCTGAGTGAATCTGCTGGGTATGTGTCTGACTCTTGGCCTCAAATCAGGTCTGGATCTCAGGGTCAGCAATGTGAGTCCTGCTTTGGGCTCCAAGCTAGGTATGAGCCTACTTTCAAGAAAACAGATTCCTATGCAGTACTTTTTAAAGAGTATCAAAAGGAAAGTGAAAGCAAAACTCTCAATGTTGCTATAAAAGTGGGTCCACACCCAGCTGACTAGCAGACGCTACCATGGCTGAGGTAAGCCTCCTGGAACTTTCTATCTGTGGCTCTCCAGCAGTAGGGCAGCCCCTTCCTCTAAGGGACTGAGTCTGGGTTCCTGGTCTTGGCACACTGAACTCCAGAGTTTGGAAAGGCTTTAGAAAGATGTTATGGAAAAGTCTTAGTTGTTTCAAAGTCCCTTTACCTGCAGGACAGTGAGGGCTTTGGGCCCAGTGAGCCTCCCCCATCCTTTGGCTCAGCACAGGGCCCAGGGGCTCCTGGGGAAGGAGCTGTGGTGGGCTGGGGGATTTGCTCACCTGAGCTGGGAAGCACCTGGTGTGTGGGCTGGGGGTGGGGGGTGTTCCAGGACTTGGGAAGTGAGGAGATCCCCAATATGCTTATCTCCCTCATGGGGGCTGGAGTTCAGTGCCTGCCCAGCTCTATCTTCCCCCCTTCCTCTCCCCTCCTTGGCATCTGTCCTGCCTCCGTAGGTATGCTGCAATTCCAGCTTTCTGACTCCGGACCTCCCTTTCTTTTTTTTTTTTTTAAAGATTTTATTTATTTATTTGACAGAGAGAGAGGGGGGAGATACAGGGCTACAGGCAGAGAGAGAGGGAAAAGCAGGCTTTCTGCTAAGCAGGGAGCCCAACACGGGGCTCGATCCCAGGACTCTGGGATCAGACCTGAGCCTAAGACAGACTCTTGACTGAGCCACCCAGGTGCCCCAACTGATCTCCCATCCTGTCAGCCCTGATGTGCAGATCTACACAGGTCTAGGCAGGGGCAGGCCAGCTTGGTGTGCCCTGAAGGGGAAAGAGTTAAACTCAGGCAATTCCAGGAAATGAGGCCGTTCTCAGAAGAAGCAGCCCAGTCTGCACTCAGCTGATCATGGGGGTGGGCCAAGGGCTGGGCTGTTGTCAAAACAAATCTGGACCTTTGTTGCCCCGGCAACCTCTCCTTCTCCAGGCCGCTGGGTTGACCATTGAACTGCCAGCAGCTACTGTGCAGGCAGTCTGGGCCTGACCTTGGTTAGACATGGAATCTCAGAGTGAAAAACCCCCTTTTGATTCCAATATGGGAACCATCCCTGGGCCTGCTGTGCCCTAGCTGAGAGAGGGGAGGAGCAGGGCCCCATGTCCCTGCCCAGCGGACCCTCCAGCCCCTTTTCCATGCAGAGTCCCTCTGCCCCCCCATTCCAGGCCAGACCCTTCACTGGATCCCGGGGGGCAACATACAGGATCCTGCCCCAGGGAGCTCAAAGCCCAGAGGGAGGTGCAGACAGACACAGGGAATCCCAGCAGGACACAATCCATGCAGAAGGAGGTACAGGTCCCAGGGACCTGGGGGCCCAGAGAGTGGCCGCTGAGGCAGTCTGGGGCCCTGAGGGCAGCTGCTCAGAAGGATGCCTGATGTGGGGAAAAAGAGGAAGGGAGGGGGTGAGGAGGTGACTGTGACTCAGACAGCCGGATATGCAGAAGACCAGAGGCAGGAGCCAGCTCTGTGTTGAGGTGAAGGGCAAGCCAGTCAGCCTGGGGGCAGAGGGCGGGGAGGGTGAGGAGGGATGAGCTGCCCAAAGTGAGCCCTGAGGCCATGGGAAGGTCAGAGTGAGATGTGCCCCTTGAGAAGGCCACAGTGGGTCTTGGGGAGACTGGATGTGGGGTAGCGGGGACAGGAGGCCAGGGTGGGCATAGGGGGTACAGTCAAGAAGCTGTAGAGTTGAGGGACTGGCTGGCTAAGTCAGAAGAGCATGTGACTCTTTATCTCAGGGTCGTGAGTTGAACCCAGCTCTGTGTCGGGTGTGGTGATTACTAGAATGAATAAAATTAAAAAAAATAATACTCAGGCTGTGAGGTTTTAGAGGCAGGCCCAGAGACTGTCCTGATGAGTTCAGAGGGTGGGAAGTGGACCAGGACATGAATTCAGGAGAAGCCCCCAGGGTTAGCTTTGGTAGTTGGATAATGGCGTGACAAAGAGGACTGAGGAAAGCTGACCCCGGGTCCCTGATTAGGTGGCCTGGAATGAGGGACAGAGGGGTGTGGTTTGCTGAGAGCAGGCACAGAAGGGAGAGAAACTGAAACATTCTCCAAGCTGATGCTGTGGAAGCCTGGGAGCTGGTGGGGGGTGGGGAGCACGGGCACTGAGGAGCAGGAAAGAGGTGTGGATGGGGAGGGAGGCATGGGCAAATCAGGGGAAGAAGAGGCAGCTCAGCACTGCCCAGCTGAGTGTTCTGGGCCAAGCCCCTGTCTCTCTGATCCTCAGTGGCCCACCTGAGCAGTGGGGTGATGCTTCCTTCCCCCAGGACTGCAGAAAAAGGGCCAGAAGTTGGCCAGCCCTACAGATCCTCAGGTCCCCTCAGGATGCTGTCAGCTTGTGTCCCTTGGGTTGGCATCTCCAAGGGCTGGTGTCCTGGGGCTGGAGGGGACAGAATCTGAGGAGAGCAAGTGCCTGGTGCAGCCATGGCCACTGAGGGCCAAGAGGTGTGGGGAGGACTTGCAGAGGGTAAAGAAGCTGCTGACTCACCTCCCCGGCTTCTGGGGAGGAGTCTGGGGCTCCCAGGCTCGGAAGGGGTTTTCACACAGATGGTCATGTCCGCACACACGGGGACAGGTGTACAATGTACCTGCACATGCACGCTCACAGCCTTGGTGTGCACACAAGTACACCCAGCACACACATGCATACCAGACATACACACACACACACACACACAGATGCGCCCATGAGTACGCCCAACACACACATGCAAACCCAACATACACACACACACTAGTGTGTGCATGACAATGCCCAACACACACACACAAAAATCCCCTTACAACACAAAAGATGTGCACGTGAGTGTACCCCACATACACACACATCCCAACATATACAGCACACGCTGATATGCAGGTACATGGAACACAACACAGAGAACACACAAGCACCACATGTACATATACACATGTGTGCTCCCCCACATGCATGCCATACAACGCGAGCATGCACACACACGCATACATCATAATATGCACGCACTAAATCAATCTCCACTCTCCTATTCCACAAGGACATTTTATTCCAGGCTTCCAGCACCCAGTTGTGTGGAACTCCTGAACATGACGGCAGGATCAGGACCCCACAGGGCCCAGGAGTTCCCTCCCACACCAGGCTCCCACCAAGTGGTGAGCATCACCCAGTGGGGTCCCCAGGCCAAGCTGCAGGGCCCCAGCTGGGCTGTCTACTGTTCCCTGGAAGGCTGCTTACACCACCTTGGGTTTTTGTGTTACAGTTTGGTCAGGAACCCAAACCTGGAGACCTGATTGAGATTTTCCGCTTTGGCTACGAGCACTGGGCCATTTATGTGGGAAACGGTTATGTGATCCACCTGGCTCCTCCAAGTAAGAGCTCTTGGAAATATTATTTTCAAAATATTTGTTATTATGATGAGAATAATTGGAAGAAAGAGCTGAGCAAGGGAAACCTGAGTTGGTTTCTCTCTGACCTTACAGATCTTACGTCCATATCCCACTAGGTAATCAAGTGGGGTGCCATAGGTCTGGGGGCAGGGAAGACAAGTGAAATGCACATTCCAAGGAGGGGGAGGGGATGTGGAGCTTCTGATCGCTGGGGTCCAGCTCATGGGTCACTGGTGGTCACACTGTCTGGATGACCTCCCCCAACATCAATATTTTGATGATCAAATGGAGATAATATTTACTTCAAAACTTATAGGTGATGAAGTCATATATGGAAAGTAAAGTGTATGATCACATAAACTGGATCTCTTTCTGAAACATATGAGGGCACAAAATTAAACAAAGAGTAAATATTTGATGATCACAGCTTAAAATGACAAAATCTTTGAACAACCTTGGTGTTCAATAATAGGGCTTGATCAGATAGACAATTTATACCCATATAACGGAATACAGTGACATCGGCATCAGTAATCATGACATTCACCAACTTGAAAAAATATTCACAGCTTGTTCCATAAAAAGAACAAAATCTCTGAATGCTCTGATCACATTTGTGAAACAACAAATAGCAAGACCTCTATAGTGTACTCCCTTGGTCCTCCTTCTCCCTCCCTGTCCCACCTTCCCCTGCAGCACCTGATGACCATGGTGGTGTCTCTGATTCCAGGTGAGTACCCAGGGGCCGGCTCCAGCAGCATCTTCTCCGTTCTGAGCAGCAAGGCGGAGGTGAAATGGGAGAGCCTGAAGGATGTGGTGGGGGACTGCCGCTATAGGGTCAACAACCTCTTGGACGACAAGTACAGACCACTACCTGTGAACCACATCATTTACTCTGCGAAGGCAAAGGTTGGTCAGGAGATGGAATACAGTCTTGTGTGGAAGAACTGTGAGCACTTTGTCACCAACCTGAGATATGGTGAGGCCGAGAGCAGGCAGGTAAGGCCCTCTTTGAGACAATCCCACCCCTTCCTGGAGGTCTCATTGGGTTGGGGTGACCATCTTCTCAGCCAGAGGGGAGAATCACCATGAACCACTGGCTGGGAGTCAGGATGTCTGAGTTCAAATATTCAATCAGCTTTGATCCACCGGGGGGAGAGTGTCTGTGGACAGGAAATTCCCTCCCTGGGCCTCAGTTTCCCCATGTGCAGAAGGAGAAGTTGGATGGAGGACCTCTGGAGGCCTGCCAGTCTGCCTTCTAGGATCCTTCACCTCTAGGATCCACCTTAAAGGCAGCTCTTGATGCCCCCAAAGGATGTCAGGAAGAGTGTGGGCCAAGTCAACATCAGGACAGGTCTCCTAAGGCCCCAGAGAACACTCAGGTGAAGGATGCTCAAGGCCCATGGGCTTCTGTACAAGCTCAAGGTTTCATTTATGGAAAGTCTGGGGCACAGTTTCCATCCCCACCCCTTCTGGCTTCCACGTTTGTTTTTTGCAAAACACAGCTAATAAGTGGCAGAGGCAGGATTCCAACCCCAGCTGTCCTTCTCTAGAGTCTCTCGCTCCCTACCGCCCAGCTGCAGAAACCGCATGGTCAATAATGTCAAGTAGAGCCTCACTCCTACTCCTAGTTGGGTCATTTCTTTGAGAACTTGTAAAGAGCACTCCTGTGCCTGGCAGAACCGGGTGTGGGGGAGGCAGCGAGGAACAAGACAAGTGACACATGAGAGATCCTTGCTTCCCGGGGGGCACAGGTGTGATATGGTAAGTCCTCGAGAGCCGTTCCTGCACCGCCTCCCAATGGCCACAAGGGCTGCCTGACGGCCGCCAGGAGCTCAGCCATCCCCGCCTTCATCTCCCCGTCCTTTGCACAACCACCCTCTGGGGATTTAGGGGCTTAAAATATCCACAGAGTAGGTCGAGTTGGCCTTGGTTCCGTGCACAGCCCTGGCCAGCGGCCTCCACCCAGGGGTTCTTTCCCCATCCAGCCCTTTTCAGCCCTTTTCTCCCCATTTCCCTGCCAGTATGTGTTGACTCCTGAGTTGTCAGGTGGGCCAAGGGGCACGTGAGTCTCCTGGAACTGAGTGTTCTTGTTGAACGGGCAGCCCATCCTCGGATCCCCGACAGAGTGTGACCTCCCCTCCTCTCTCTTGCAGGTCAGAGATGCAGCTACGATAATTTCCGTCGGGGGAGCAGCCGTTGCAGCCCTTGCTGCCTTGGCATTCATGGCATCACGAAACAGGAAGCAGAAGCAAAAAGTTGAAGGTCCTGACCCATCGGCGGGGACGTTATCCACTGAGCGGGTCTGGTTGTGCCAGAGGTTTTGAAGTTGGGTTTGTGGGTTTCATTCTGTTTTAGAGTGAGGCTTATTTTTACAGAATAAAATAAAGCCCAGCAAGGAAGCACTTTACTGGAGAAAACGCAGCAGGAACTGGCTGGCGTCAAGTCTGTTGGGGGTGCAGCGGGGCTCGGGGCCTGGCCACGCCAGCGGGCGCCCTGGGCCTTGGGCGCTATTCTCTCCCTTTGTCTCTGGGGCTGTGTCCTTTGTCTTGCAGGAGTCAGCCCAGCTCTGGCTGTTTCAGGTCTGGGGTAATTCTGGTAATTCTGGTTGTGGGGAGACAAGGGAGCAGCAAGGGAGCCCCACAGCCCTGACTGATGGGCCAGAACAGGACCCATCAGACAGCTAGGACCCTCGGCCTGGAACTAGAGCCAGCTCGGCTTCTCGGACTCTGCAGCTGGATCTGTGGGTGTTTGGCGGAGTCAAAAACAAACCAAAGCCAACGTCTGCCATGAGGAAGTCAGTAGAGGCTCTTGCTGATCTTGTGAAATCCTCTCCTATCTCCCTCTGCTCTCCACACCTGGAATCTGGGGTTACATATAGGAGGTTAGGGTGAGGGGCAGTATCCTACTTTGGGAGGCTACCACAAGGTCTTACAAGCAGTGGGGCACAAAATCAGAACCTTTAGAAGTCTGTTCTGGGACAGATGTCCCTGGCTGAAAGCCACTCAGTTGGCAAAACAGGGTGGAATCCCAGGTGGTCTCAGGATGCCCGGGGTCACAGAAAGAATGGGGGTGCCCGAGTGCAGCAGAGTTCCTGGCCATCTGAGCAGAGAAGCCATCTGCAGACAGTGGAACTCCGCACTGTTTTTTTGCTCCGGGTTGCTAGAAGTCATCAACAGGGTCAGGGGACTACTTTCCCAGCAGGGGCCCGGCAAGCTGCAGAAACATGGGGAGACTCCCCTCCCTCCCCCTGGAGGA